CCTTTATGGGAAGCGATCCATGAACTGCCTCTCCTTGGATCTTCTGGGAGAGGACCAGCTCCCGGAGGAGTTTGTGGTGTAATGAGATTGGAGCTCTTCCATACCAGGAAATGGCTCATCATGGAAATATATACCTCATTAACACGTGTGATGTCACTCTGGCTCTTGCCGGAGATTGTGAGCAGCTTTGTTATTCAGCTCCATAGTCAGTAAGTGGCACCACTTCTGCAGACCTGACTACAGGGCAAATCAACTGGAGCGTAGCACTTAAAGCTGGCATTTGAAGTGCCTGTCTGAGCAGAAAATGGAAGTGGCCTGCGCCATTAGCAGTGACACGACCAACACAAAAACCAAAAGCAGTGGACCAAACGGATGCTGAGCTAGTAAAGTAAACACTGTGTCTAAATGGATTTATCGGAAAGAAATTTAAAGTCCGTGGCAGTTTATCCTCCTGCCTTTCTCTTGTGGTCCATTTATGTCAATGCTAGTGTACAGATAGTTTGGTTGTCTTGAGTTTGTGCTTGCCGCAACACTGCCAACAGCTGTCAGGCCAGGATATACTCTGAGCACATTTGGAGGGCTGTGTATGGAAGTGTCTGGCCTGTTCCTGTTGTAATAAACACAAGTTGCCTATTTCCTTTACTGGGAGCAAGATCTGCTCTGCCAGGAGTTTATTTCTCTTTTTTTTTCTTGTTGTTGTTTTGTTTTGTTGTAAGCATGCAGCCAAATATAATGTGTGTTCTTTTTTTTTTTCTTTAATGCAACAAGTGGAGCTTTCTCTCAGCTATCTACTACTGCCATGGTGCAGATTGGTAAATAAATGCTTATATCCTTGGGGAGATGGGGGAGGGGATAAAACAAATGACTGCTTCTGAGAGTACAGAAGACAAGAGCGTTAATTGACTGGCTCTTGAAGGCAGGAGTGTGACTGGAGAATGTGTCCAGGCATGATCACCCCTTACTTTGAATCATACTTTTATGTTGTTCTTTTCTTTGTTTTTAATAAATATGTTCCTTAGATTTTTTTTTCTCTGCTTAGGAGGCAAGTATGGACTGGAGAAAGTCACTTGGAAAAGACAGTGACTCTGTTCAGCTTAGTCATGGATAGGTAATGCAAATGTGAGTGTGTGGTGCTGCAGGGCTGGTGATGGTGGAAGCGTAGGGTGTCTATGCCAAACTTGTGTGGTACTTATTTGGTGATTTTGAGTGGTGGAGCTGGCTGTGCTGGCTCTCACCAGGAAAATAATTATAGCTATGCTGTTTGATTCAAGCATTTGGTGTGGAAAGCATCCTGCTACCTTGTTACATACAAATAAATGTATGTTTGATTTCTTTCCCTATCTTCTCTCAGTAACTCCTCCCCTCATCAATTCCCACCATTTGGGAAGCTTGTACTTACAGGCATGTGTAACCTGTGCCCAGATTTTGACAACCTTGCAGGTGGAAGCTAATCATTTTTTGGCAAACTATAGAAGCAGACTGATGCTATTCTGCTGGTTGAGGAAGTGTGTGTTGTGCAGTGTTGATCACTCAAAAGCTGAAGATAGCCGAATTCAGGAAAGGAGGGAAGCCGGACCATGACAAGGAGCGTTTGAGCTGCTGTTCTGAAGGTGGGCTTTCAGGCTTAGTAGTTTTCTGATAAACTGTGTTCCCATAAAATGTTAAAATAGCAAATCCATAAAGTCTGTCATCTCGCTATTTCTGTGCAGGTGAGTGTGGTGTAGATGCACCTGCACACTCTGACTCTGCGTTTACTGCAGTGGCGTCAGTGGCTGGCTGTCCATCCTCTGAGATGAATCCAGCACCAAACCCTCACTGGGTGCTTGCAGAGGGAATGATAGGCACAAGCTCACTGTAGCCATGACTTAGCTGACCGTGCCCTCTGATCACACTGTTCTTCCTTCTTGTAATGAACAATTAGGAGCCGTGTGTTCACCGTAGCCTCTTTTCCTTTCTTCCAAGCAAAGCCAAAATGCCTTTGCAGAGCACTTGAGGTGTGTTTACTGCATCCAAAATAAACTCTCCTAAGTGGATCTAAATGAGTAAAGACATCAAGCTGCTTGCGAACAGTCCAGTCAAGCTCCCCGCAGTTGGTCGCTCCCCGTTACCTGGGGCCTGTTTGGCCGCCAGCCGTGGGAGAGGGGCAGGGCTGGGATGCAGGAGGCCGGTGGCCTCGCTGCGGGGAGCGGCGTTGTTCTTGCAGCTGCGCGGAGTGGGAGGGGTGGCTCTGCAGCAATGCCTGTCTGTCTGAGGTAAAGGTGCAGGGGGGGGTCTGGAGCGATGGCCCTGCTCACCTGTTCCTGTCCCACCTGTGCAGACAGACTCACGGTGCTGGCAACGGTTGTTAACGGGAAAAGAAGCTCAAAATTCAGTGGGTATAATTGTTTGGAAAAGTGTCATAAAACACACGTGTGTGCCACGTGTTCACATGCATGCACACTGGTCTCAGAGACAATCACATTCGTACCTGCTTCAGCCTAACCACCTTGCTGAAGTGTTTATTGCCACCAACCAGCTTGGTATTTTCTTTTCGCAGTTACCAGGCATTCAGTGGATTTGGTGAAATGCTGTAATCCTGCTGTCACTGGTTACAAAATACACCAATGCCTGAAAACAGTGTAATTGGCTCTTGCATGAGCATCCACTGCCTTGTGTGTACATTGGGGTTTCTTGTATTTATTCATGGCTGGTGGGGAAGGCAAACTCTCCAGGTCTGACAGTCTTCTCAGTGGTCTACGCAACTCTCTCCAGTACTGTAAGTTACATATGCATATGAAGAGGAGACTGGATACTTTTTGTACAGACTGAGAGTGAATTAATATTTTACAAGCACTGTGAATATCTATTATGCAAGTTTTTGTATTCATAGGATAGAAACTGTTCCTGCTAGTAATAGATTTTTTGTTTGTCTTTGGATTTGGAAGGTCTCTTATTATTTTTGGTTTTGATTAGTTTGGTAGAGGGTAACGTGTAAGCATTTATCAACTGATGTTAGAAACTAGATGCCAATATTTGTACATATTTGTAAAATATTCATGGTATAATCACTCTATTTTAATGGCAAAAGTTTCTCCTTTCCATGAAAGGAATTTCTTGTTTAAAAAAAATATAAATAATTATACGTATACCTGCAATAAAGTATGGATAGAAAAGGTAATTGTGTGTCTTTATAATTTTTTTTCCTCAAAGAGGAGCATGCCAGTGACATCTTCCATTTGAGGTAGGTAGGTTGCAGAAATGGATTGTCTGCCAGATTGTAACCCGTATGAACTTGGCTCGTGATGGCAAACCCAGAGGCACTGTAGCCACTGGAAAAACCCCTTTTCTTCACGGCCACTCTCAGTAGCATGATACCAAAGGGGCCCTCTGTCAGGCATTGAGGACCCAGTCGAGCAGGTTGGAGTCAGCGGAACAGTCACTAATGGGAGCTGAATCTAACCGAAGAGACAAGTTAAGCTGCTTGTGGTGGTTAGTCAAGAAAATCGAGCGTGCGAACTCCCAAGGGTGTAGAGAGATCCCGTCAGCATCCTCCCGGGGGCTGCATCCGCAGACAGGCACACCAGCCCACGTGGGGCAAAGTGCTGCTGAAGAGCACTCTGCCCTGAGTCACCTAACCTGCTGCCCTCGAGTCCGGCCTGCATAAAGGGAAGTTTGGCTTTTCTTGGGACATAAATCTATGAAAGAGTGACATAGTGTAACTGTTCACATCTCCTCTTGAAGAAGCTTACTGATTGGGGCTGCTTTGTAAATGTGGTGTTTTGTTTTGTTTTGTTTTTTTTTTTCCTCCTCTCGATACGTTATGGACCACTAAAGCCAGCATTCGAAAACAAAAAGTAAAAAATTTATGTACTTTAATATTACAGTCTTGCCCCTATTCTTATGACTTCTGCTCTTGTACTCAGTATTTCTGCCTTGTACCTGCTGTGTTTCCGGTACACAAATTTTCAAGAACTTCAGAGATTCATCCATTTGGGGGATGCCAGAAGGTGGTTTAGTTATGCATGGTGCTTTCTATGAAGGTCAAATAAAATAGGCAAATACTAAGCCACCTAACTCTGCAGGGCTTTGTTACTTCTCTTTGTTTCTTTGCTTAGCAAGTAATAGCACCTTCTTGCCTGCCAGGGTGGACTGCTGCTGACCAGGATGGGATGAGTCTGTCTGAAGACGGGACTTCTTATGGTACCAGCGAAACCTACGTGGCTTCGGTAAAGGGACGCAGCGTGGGATGGGGGAAATGTTACTGCACCAGATCTGTGTTGAGGCATGCCAAGTGTGGGAGCTGCATGGCGGTAAGGTCTGAAGGTGTGTGCTAAAGCAGATGGCTAAAACACCCCAGGTATTTTGAGTGAAGTGAGAACGGTTCCTCGGTGGAGCTCTTGGCAGCAAGGTCCGAGACACTGAAGGCTGGCACGGTGTTCTAACAGCCGGAATGCTTCTGAGCAAGAACTGGTCACAGAGCCGCAGTGGTGGGCAAGCTCCCCGCTGTAGCTCCTCGCCCACCACCAGTGGTGCTCACCCTGCCGGGGTATGGTGCCTCCTGGTCCGTTTGCCCAGGCTCCTCCTGTCAGTTCTCCTTCCTCATCCCTGCCCCTACAGCTCCCTCCGCTCCTACCTCGGAGCCCCCGCGCCGTAGCCTGCCCCTTCCGTGGGCGCCTCCCCGGGCGGGCCGTGCCCAAGGGCCGACGCCCGCGTCTCCCCCGGAGGCCCACCAGCTGCTGGGGGGGGAGGAGGAGGAGGAAGGGACCAAACCTGTCCCCCCCGCGGCCGCTCCCAGGCCCTTGGCGGCAGGGGCTGAGCTGAGGGAAGCCTGGGGACGGCCGAGGGGCAGCGGGGCCCGTGGGGGCCGGGGCCGGGCCGTGGGGCGGCAGTTCCGGGCCGGGGCGCGGGGCGGCGCCCGAGGAGCGCGGCGGGGCCGGGGCCTAGGCCGGGGCTGGGGCTCCTCCGGCTGGGCCGGGCGGGCTGACGCGGAGCTGCCGGGGGGAGCCCAGGCAGAGCCCGGGGCCGCGTCCCCCGGGGCGGGGGGGGGCACTTCGGGCGGCTTCTGTCAAGCGCTGCCGGAGAGCAGGCTCCCCGCTGCCCCCGGGGCACGGACACGGCCGGCCGCGAAACGGGGGGAGCCCGGGAGGCCCACGCAGGCCGGAGCGCCGGGAAGCCGGTCGTTGAACGAGCAGACCCCCCCAGGCTGGCTGTGGCCGTCAGCTGCTCGCTGAATCCTGTACGAAAAAGTGCGTTAAATGGTCTCAGGTGGTGGAGACGGCATCTCTCGGGCCTGAGGGCAGCGTGTCTGGTTCCTGCACGGAGGGTGGTACACCCAAACTACACAGGGGACAAAGCTGCTGCTCCTTCACCTCTGGGAATCCTTGGCACAGAGAGCTCCAGGTGTGAAATACTGATACTAGTTCAAAAAAAAAAAAACCCTCCACGACCCCGCTTGGGTAGCTGAATGTCAGCGGTGGGCTGCTGCCTGTTCACGCGTGGGGCCCGTCCACCCCGCTGCAGCTCGTCACGGAGGGGAGCAGAGGGAAAGGTGACCCTGGTGCTGGCAGGGTGCCCTCGGTCAGCAGGGACGGGCTGCAGGAGGCGATGGGACCGTGGAGAAATGGACGGGAAGGATTTTGTTTCCCCACAGATTATTTCACTGCTCGCAGCCAAGCAACATTTTATAAGGTAAGCCCACTGCGAAGCAGTTCCCACCCCTTCTTTTCTGGCACGTATTATGTCCCCACAGCTTGTTTTTGGGGGGCACGCTCCAACCCGGGGCCATCCTGCATTTTCACACTGCTGGTCAGCCAGATACCGGCTGCCTCTGTCCTTCTGAACCCTGAATTTGGCTCTGCAAAGAGGAGATTGTAGTTGTTAGAGTAAGATCTGGATAGCAACTCTTGCACTGGAAGTCTGTTGTTCTACCGCAGAGATGTAATGAGCAAAAATTGTATTTATCCTTTCTGGTATATTGTAGAGGCAGCTGAATATGGGCTATTGAAAAACATAGCTGTGGTATTTTAAAATTCTGCTTTATTTTTATTCCTGGAAATATCAGCCTTACATTTTTTTAATTTTAAATCTCATAAATACATTTATACCAGCCTTTATTTTTCTTTCTCCAATCACTGCTGTTCTCAATATGTAACGAGATAATTGGATGTGGCATGTGCTAGAAGCCTTGAGTCTCAAGCCACCATGTGGAAATTACCATTAAATACTTCAGTGACAGCAGAGCGTTCAAGTGTAGGAAAAATTAGTTTCTATTAGCTGCAGAAAGCACTCAGCCTTTTTCTTATGGCCAGCTGACAAATAGCCTGAGCTGTTTGACTGACTGATTCCCACAGCCACATTCCCCACCCTCTTTGAAAATGTGGCTTTGAATGGGGCTCGCTCTCTAGCCGAGAGGATTCAGACTGGAAGGGCTGCATTGAGGCAGCCCCTCTCTGCTCTTCTGCTGGGTGCAGGTTTTGGGGTTACCCTCCCCTCCGCACTGTCTCAGACCCAAGTGCCTTCAAAAGAGCTCCAGCTACTGATATGGAGATCTCTGCTCAAAAACATGCACTGTAGGAAGCTAGGTAATTTCCTTGATGCGTAATTTTGGGGGATGAGAGCGAGGAGGCTTACCCCCTTCTGAGGCATGCATGCTTGCCCACTGCTGGAAATAAGGTCTGTGGCGCAGTTTGCTGTTGTTCCTGGCGGTGGTATTGAAATCTTTCTTGTCTGGCTTGTGGGCTGCACTCCTATATTTAGGGTTAAATTGCTTGCTGTGTGTATGGAGGAAGCTTGGGAAGCCAGCCCAGCTTTTGGTTGTAGCATCTGCTCAAATGGATCCTGAGCTCTCTGCGTTTGCAGGACCGGCGACAGTGGCAATGCCCCTGCCCTCTCCTCTGGCCCACGCAGAGAGGGTTTTCTGCCCGTATGATCTTTCTGTGGCTAGTGCAGACTTTCTGGCCATGGTCTTTCTAGTCAGACATGAACAGAGGGCTCCTATAATTGCTCTGTTAAATTGTTAACAGGATGTATTTTTGGGACCTTCCATTCTTGGGATGGTCAAGAAGGACATGCCAGTCACTGGAGTGGGTGCGTTAGGGCAGGTGAGACACCTGGGGCTAGGTGGGTTAGTATTGCCAGCTTTGATTGCATTTCTTGCAAGTGTTGCAGTAGGCTACGTTTTCTTTTTAAAACCCCAGCTCCCTGAGTCATGCTTTTGCATAAGGCTCACGGCTTGTAATAAGGCAAACAAGGAACCCTTCCCAGCCTACCTGGCTGAAAGGAAAATTTGGCATTAGGACTGCTTGAAGAGCTTATGCCAGCAGGGCAATAACGAGAGCCCCAAATATGGGTGTGGTTTTGAACATCTAGATCCAAACTCACAATGCCTTGAGGCTGGGGGTGCAGGCATGGGGCCTTCCTCTGGCGTGGCCAGTCCCAGCCCAGCCCTGCTGCCAGTGCTGGCGTTCAGCTAGCCACATCCCGCAGCAGGGGATGAGTGGCAGGGTTTGCTGTGGGAGCAGCTGGGTACAATTTTGCTTAACGTTTGTACTGCAAATAATAGAGGGCACAAACCATTGCCTTCCAATCTGCTTCAACACAAACCGCTTTGAGATTCAAAGCAGAATTATTGATGAAAATGTAGGCCTATCATGCTAAGGGAGAGCTCTACAGCCATGATGCTGGTTTTATCCTGATTTCAGAGTGAACAGAGCAGGGTAGGAGCAATTGAAGGCTGCCCTTTCCAAGGACGTTGCCAGAGCATCAGCTGAGCTTTCAGACAAGCCAGCATCTTTACGGTTAATGAACTTTAAAGACTTCCCAAAGCTGCTGCCCCAGACCCTGCTGCCACCACTCTGGTCCTGCTTCATTGACGCTGTCCTGCAGGCTCAGAGCTGCCTCTCTAACTCCAGGCAGGTGCCCACAAAGCTTCAAGTACAAATTCTCCCTATGTAGAGGATGCATGGATACAACACAGAGCCCTGCGAAGCACAGGAGCAGCAGGGACAGCTGTTTCAGCAATGACATTCCAGGTGTGGAGGAGCATGAGGTGGTTTCTGGTGTCCCTAAGGTGCTCTCCTCTGGCCGAGGGCAGGGGCCAGAAAGGGTTCCTGGTGGCTCAAGTATTGACCTTGCTGCAGCTGTAGCAGGTCCTGGTGGAGGGTGCTACAGGGGAGGGCAGTCAAGGCACAGGAAATCGGCTCTCTCCCAAGGAGAAGAGACAGGGAAAGGAGAAGGTGTCTGCAGACCCTCCAGGAGAAGTTACCAACGTGCTCCAGTGTTGTGGTCCTGTGGATGAGCTGCCCAGGAGAGAGGTAAGGAGAACCCTGCTGGGGTGGGGCTTGCTCGCTTCTCAGTCTTCTCAAATGTTGTTCATTGTGGAAGTCCTAAACAGTTGCTGGGATGTGGCCTGGAAGCCACTTCTTCCTTCCCTCTGTCTGGCATGTCCTAGTGGTGAAGCTTCTGACTCTTCCCTGGGACGTGCTGGCATAAGGAATAACTTGCAAGGGCTGGAGGCAGCAGTGGCAGGGGCAGGGGCAGCAGGAACTCGGCAGAACCTTGCTGAGTGTCCTCTCCCAGGGCATGTGTGCTGTGGCTGCCGAGTCTGGGGCCCTGGGAGCAGCCCTGTCTGGCTGTGCACCCCAGATGCACCCCAGCGTGAGCAGCCGGGTGAAGGTGGCAGCTCGGGATGTGGCAGTGGGAGACCTGCAGCGACTGGCCTGGTGATAGTGCCACTTGGTGCTGGTGGGTGAGAGACAGAGGGGTCTTTTCCAGGGACTCTCGGGCCTGCCTTGTTAAAAACAGGTGCCTAAACTGCGACTCTGGCCAAGGTCAGGCAAAACCTCAGCTGCCTGGTGCAAAGTGCCAACAAAATCTGAATGGCCAGGCCAGGTTTGTTTCCAGGACTTCAGTGAGTTAATGTCGTACGAGCCAGCATCACCGTGTCTCCAGTATCTCATGCTGGCCAGAACTTTATTGAAGCTCCCTTAGGACTCCACGCCTTTTCCCCTCTGCCCTTTCCACTCTTTATGGGAGGTAGGTGGTATCCAAAGGTCACTGGCCTTCTTGGAGGCCAGATACTTTTGCTTTCTCATGCCTGTGATGAGGCATCTCCTTGCCTTCAGGCTTGCTGTCACCACACCACCCTGAGGTGGTGGCATCGTGTGACCCAGGGCGCAGCTGGCTGTGAGCATCCCATGTGTGCCCTCCGTGCCTGGCCGTGTGCGTGGCAGCCCTGGCAGGGCCCGACCCGTGCTGCGGGACCCTCTCCAGCTCTTACAGAGCATTCAGGGTTCACCATATGCTGTGACTGGCTTTCCAAAAAGGTGTCCTGGCTGAAGGCAGTTTGGTGTTGCCTTGTGCAACACCAGGCTTGCCCGCAAATGGGCAGAGGTGACCCCAGTGGCACCTCCCCTTCCTTGGGCTTGGTTTAGGTTGGTTCTGCAGAGGAACCGCCTCACTTTCAAAGAGATGCAGGTGGAGCAAACCTTTGGGCAGGGAGCAGCAGGAGCCCTCCCAGGACCTGCATGGTGTCTTTGTGGGTAGCTCGCTTCTCTTCCTCTGCCCCGTGTCCCCATGCAACTGCACATTTTTACATCTTCGTTATTCCTCAATTTTTGTGCCTTTTCCCTCTATACCTTGGAGCTGAGCTCATGATTTGCAGCTGGGATTGCAAAGGTTGTGATATTTCGATGTGCCAGGATTTATGGGACTGAGGTAGAAGGGGTTAACACAAACCTGTTCATGCTGAAAAACTGTGGGCCTAGCGCTTGCACCCCATGTCCCAAAAGTGGCTGTTGTGAGTTGCCTGCAGTTATGCAGTGTCTCCATTAGTGTGTCCATCATAAGTCCTCTCTCCATGTGGAGATTATGCTGGTGAACGTGCAGGTACAGCTTCTTGTGTTCAGGCATCACAGTCTCATCCTGCCTCTTGCCGTTGCAAATGCTACGCCAAATTTAGCAGGTAAACCAGATTCTGGTAAGGAAATCAGAAGTCAGGCTCGGGTCTGACTGTGGACCTCTTTTTCCTCCCTTTGAATTGCCCGTTGCATGTTACCCACATCACAGCCGCTGCTCTGGCAGCTGGTCTGGGTGGTTTCAGAGTCTTCATGAGCCACGGTAAGAAGAGAGGTAGAGTGCAACTGCAGTGTCCTGGCTGATCTAAGGGGCTGGCTGCCAAGAGGTGTTCCTCCACTCTGATGGCAATAGGTAGCAAAAGGTGAGCAGTAGCGAAAGAATCTGCTGTAACTTCCAGCTGGTACATGTCCACAGTGAATCTACATGAATCTACAGCAGCTTTCCACAGCAAGGCCTGATAAAGCCTTTCTTCTGGATGGGAGACTGGGAGGGCAGCAGGTGGAACGTGTCTCTCCGTAAGACAGCGCCAGTGGGGGATGTCCAGAGGCACGATGCCCTCTATGGTCCCTGGAGGCAGCCCGGGCAGCAGCTCTTGCACTGCCTGGTACCTCCCCAGCACCCTCTGGATTGACCCCTGTGCCATCTCCATGAGGTGCCCCTGTTTGGACGCGGCAATACTGAATAGCCTCTTGCAAACTCTGTCCCGTCTCTGTTGGGAGGCGCTTCCCACAAGTCAGACACCATGAAATAATTTGTCAGATCTGGCTGCCTGAGCTCGGTCGCGTTGCGAAGCACGGGGAGCATCGGCGCGTTAAGCACCGGCTAGCCGTTCTCTGTGGATTCAGCCTTGGCAGCAGACGCAGCCGGAGCAGCGTGGGCTCCTCCTCCAGCTCCTTTCTAAATAAGTAGCGCGTGGATGAGCGCTGGCATCCGCCTGCGCTGAGCCACCTACCCTGGGGAGGGAGAGGAGGAATGCGGACTTGGGAAGAAGTGCCGGGAATGTCGGAGCGCACAGGGCTGGAAGTAGCGGAGGCCTGCGGCTGCAGCGTAAAGCAGGACTGCTTGCTGCTGCAGTGGCTGCCCAGCAAAACGCCCGTGTTTCTGCAGCTGGTTGTGGGTTTAACCTGAAGCTTGTGTTATCCCAAATGCCAGCTCAGAGCATGTAGTGGGCAGCGTCTGTCTGTGTGTGTGTGTGTGTGCTCAGAAAGAGGTGGAGGAGGCTCATGCTGCTAAAAACCCAAACATCTGAAGTGAGGGAGGAGGTATCATCTTCTGTCTCCCGGATCTTCAAAGCTTCTGGTGTGGTCTCCAAAGTTTTTTCATAATGGTGGGTTGGATTTTTTGTTGTTTTGTTGTTATTTTTGTTTAGAAGAGAGAAGGAACTGGTTAGTAAAGTCCAGAGGAAAATGAGAGGGAAAACTAATCTTTCTGGTGCCTTTAAGTGAACTGCTGGGCAGTGACTCATCCCAGCCAGGATAGTAATTTCATGGAACAGAAAAAGGGCAAGAGGGGACACGTGTTGGATGAGATACTTGGAAGCATGGATATGGAAGTACATGGGGGTGATAACTCAGCTTAACTGTGGTTCCCCAGGGTAATGAGCAGAGGTGCAACTTCAAGCCTGCAGGTTTGTAGATAAGATGTGCAAATCTCATGTTCCTGGAGTTTGATATCTGGGGATATTTTCCCCCATTGTTTCTATCATCAAAGCTGACGCTAAATACTTGTTCCTGACAGCTGGAGCACTGCAATTCTCTTCTTTTGTTGTTAAACTTAGGCCCTGGTGTTTGAACTGTTACTACTGACATCTGAATGTCTGGTCAATTGACCATTTAAGCATTCCAGCAGGTTTTCTGAGGCTGATCTCCAAGTCATTAGAGACATGTACTGAACAAGCAAGAGGTGAATTTGGAGCGTTGCATCATGTTATTCAAGTACTGAGTTTGGCACTCCTCTTCCAAATGCTTTGTCTGATCAATCCCAAACTCTTGGGTATGTGAAATAGGGATCATCTCTTTTTTTTTTAATCCGTGGCTTGCATTTTTGTCTGTCTGGGGCCATGGTTAATGTCATTGCTCAAACACCAAGTTGCTTTTGTGAATGGCCACAGTACCTTTGGTGTTCCTGCACTCCAGGCCCATCTGCTCCTCCATGAGCAGACGCTGCTGCCTCTTCCTCTGGTTGGAAGGGGCTTGAAAGCCCATCAGCTTGCAACTACTTGTCCACAGCAGGAGCTGAAAGCCTTTCCCAGTAACCGCTTCATTCTGCCTGTGCTTTGCATTCTGCAGAGGTTTGGAAAAGTGCTTCATAAAATGGAATCGCAATTTAATAACAAATTAAACATTTTTGTGACCCTTCCAATGCTAATTATGGTTTTCCTAGCCTGGCTAAAACCAAGAGCAGCCTCGCTTTGTGGTGTGGCTGCTGCCAAGGCATGAAGCCACACATGGAAATTAAATATATAATTTTCAAATGTCAGCATAGGTCAAGGTTTTGTTTAAGAGTGGGCCAAAGGCTCTGGCTGGTTTAATTACTGCTTTTTTTTAACCCTGTGATGAGGTGCAGCACTGTCGAGCAATTGTGGATCGCACTGCTTCCTCGGGCTTTGCTGGTAAGAGTACTCCTAGGTGGTGAGGAAGACTAACGGCTTGGCTGCGGAGGCTGCAGCGCGCTATGAACAGCCACGTGCTGGGCCTGGGGCAGCTCTGGGGCGCAGTCAGCTGCCCTGCACAAAGGCATTCCCTGCGGGCATTGAAAACAACATCCCCCCTCAGGGCACTGATGGGGAGCAGCTCCTGTGCCCTGCACCTTGCTCTGCACGGAAAGCCGGGTGCTGCAAGCGAACGGGGGACAGATTTGCAAAGGGTGGAAGAAGGGTGTGTTGGACCAGCGCTGCAGGGCTTGATGCTAGAGGCGGGTAGGTGGGGTAGGGATCAAGGTTGAAAAAAATAAGTGAAAAACCTCTGCAGCAGTTGTATGTCCCTCAAAATCAGGTCCTTGAGCAATCAGTTTCCCTGGCCATGGCAAAATGAGAGGTGGGGCTCTAAACCCTTTGCTTGGATTCCCTCATCAGGCTAGGGAGGCAGAGGTGCTTGCTGAAAGCAGATCTAGCCTGTTAATCCCTTTCCCTTGGCTGCAAGGGGAACCAACAATTGGAGTTGATAAATTCCATCTGTAATGATAAATCCACAGAGCAATGTGGGCACCGAGCTGTCCTTCTGGGCCAAATTTTGAAATGTACTTTGAAGGCTATTGTCTGATTCTGGATAGGTCTAGACTTCTCCCACTAACTTTGTGTAGGTCTATGTGTATGTGTATCTGTGTATTTTACCCTTGATGAGCACTTGCTGCTATTAGGACTTTGGGATTGCTCTGTCCCATTTTTGCTGCCTCAGCTCCAGGTCTGCTGGGTGTTCTACAAGCCAGAGTGTTCGCTTGTGCAGGGAGCGACACAAGCTCAAATCCTTTGTCTTTGAACTGGATCCAAAGTTTCTGCTTTCTGAGAGGGTGCTTGGCCCACAGGTTAGGGGATGTGCGAGTAGGGGTGCCAGGGGGTGAGGGGAGCTTGCAGTGTGTACGCAGCTTCCACCTTTACGTAAGGTGCTTGGGGTACTTTGGCATGAATACCAGACCCTGGGCCTCCCAGGCAGCTGCCGTGCTGCTCGGGCTTCACGCCATCAACTCCTTGGCCAACTTGACACTAAACCATTAGGATGCTGAAGTATTCACCAGACCAAATTCTCTTGTGTTTGCTGTGGTTTCAATAATGGGTAGGTTTTTTGAGGAGGAGGTGGAGGTTCCTAGCTACTGTTGCTAAAGCAGTTTGCTCAGCTCATCTACAGGGCAAGGAAGAAGGTTGAATAAATTCAGGAGGGACATCTGAAGGCCAGTCCAAGGGGTAGCTGGGGTTTGTGGTGCCGCCTCGCATTGCTGTGTGGAAGGAATGCCTCTTTCTGATGGCTAGCCAGGGGACGGTGCGAGGTAGCTGAGCACTGGCTGTCACGGGAGAGAGTGGGGGCCCCGTGGGGGAGAATGAGAGCCCAGCAGCGAAAGGTTAACATGTTGACTGCAGCCAAAGCGTGCTGAGCGTGGCTAGGAGAGAGGACGGCCCGGTACTGAGCAGCACTCCATCCCTCCCAGTGACCTGGTGGAACAGGCAGGAGGTAGAGCAGGGGCGAGTGTGCTCTTGCTTCAGTGCACAAGGAGTCCAGCTGAGCTCTGGATGATGCACTCATGGGCCTCACTGAAAGGAACTTCTCCAGATTTATATAATTTTTACTCTCACTTGTGCCCTTGACCTTGCAGAGAGCAAAGCTGTATTAGCAAATAGACTACATGGGCACTATTAAAAACAACCACTTTTTTCCTGGTGCTTATGACCTTCTGCCTCAATTTTTTAGAACACTCAAATACCACTTCCTTTTTCCCACTGTTGGTACGTGTGTTTCAGCTTTAGTGTCAAGATGATGAGGACTGGTTAATCAGGATAGGTTTTGGTCAACAAAGGAGACGTTAAAGTCAACTCCATGAATATGTGTCACACCTGTTCTTCTAACATAGTTGTCATTTCAAAGCTTGAAAGATCTGAAAACAAACAAAAAAATATGTGGAGAAGCATCGGGCCTTGCATATGCCATTTTCCTTGCTCCTCAGGACCTCAATTACATGTCTGAAGATCTTTGCCTCTTTTTTAGCAGGGCCAAGTGAATCTTCGGGCAGAAGACAATTGACCTTAGATGCTGGAATAAAGCCATTTCACCCTTACAACTCTTACCCTTCTTTCCTTCACTGCATCACCTCTGACACTAGGACTGAGCAATCATGTCTCTATAACCCAGGAAATTCCAAAACTGAAAGTTCTTAGAGCACAATGTACAGGATATACAGGGCAGCAAAGTTAACATTTCATTGTGCAGGTCAAACGGTGAGTGATATGCTACGCTGACAAGGAAAACAGAAATAGGGAATGCTGCATATGTACAATTTGGCAGAGTTAATGTTAATGTAGAAACTTAAACTTTTGGTATTTGCTGATATTTGAGCCGTTTATTTCACAGCTTTAACAATAAGTATTGCTGCTTTTCCCCTGCCACACAGATTGTAAATAAATGCCAAGGTTTGAAGAGCAGCTCCAGAAAAGAAAGCACAATTCATGACAAGTTACATTTCTATGTAACACTTAGGAAATGCCAAATCCTTAAAAATATTTGAGGAACTTAAAGATGCTGGTGGAATCAGCTAGCCCTCCCCTGCCACAACCTCTTTTAGAGCTTTAATCCAGGCTGCTTTTGAAGCTGTCTGCCCCTGTGTTTCTTTTAGCAGGCTAACGTCCCTCACTGACGCTTTCTCACCTGAGATCACTTTAATGACCAGTCAGCTTCGTAAGGTCCTGTGTCCAGATTCTTCTCCTACCCCTCTGTTACTGCTGGAATCAGGTAAAGTTAAGGCAATTTTACCCTCGTGACATTATTTAGGAAAACAAGTATTATTGCAGCTCTGGTTGCGATGCTAATGTTCTGAGCACCAGAGCACTGCATGCAACACAGCAGCTGTTATATATTCAAGGGTGAAATTTCAGTAATGGTATGCTATATAATCTCTAGATAAATATTTATGCTTGTGAAGGTTAAGTGACTTGGAATACTATGAAGGCCAGCCTTTTGGGCAGGCCACTGCAATTTAAGCCTTCTTGCAGTGACCTACCACTGACCTCTCCCGATCTAGAAGCAGAGTGATTGCTGGAGGTAAAAATTCAGAGTGGATCCTGAGGCCTCTGCTGAGCAGTAACAGGGTGAGTAAAACATGTCAGGTGTTACTTGAATCCAACTACCTATCTCAGAACTGCTTCTCATTTCTTACATTGCTTAGATTGCCTTTAAACTTCTCCCAGTGTAACTTCATTCACAAACCCTGCGTGGTGTTGTCTCTTGAAGATTCCAAACATCGTATCGCAAGATGGGGTTTTGGTGTTTTATTCACGTGATGGATGGGAAGAGTGTAGTTATCCCTTTCTAACGTGCAGGCACATATTGAAGGGTGTGATGTGGTTAATTTGCTTTAGAAATGCAAGTGAAACAAAAAGCCAGACTACTACTGAAAGAGTTGGACAAGTTAGGTCCCATTAGGATCTGTAGTTCAGGGCCTTTTGGCACTCCTAGAGCAAAAGAAAAAACCCCAAAAGAGGCAAAGCTGTAGTCTTGGTGAACTCAGCAGGGTTGGGATTCACTCCAACCATGTCATCTGAGTGTTTTTTAAAAAATTTGTATAATCCCTTATTTGCTTCCTAAATTACATTCCAGAGGAACAACAGATGTAGCCTTACTCCTTTTTCTCCATCTCACTGGTGCTGTTATTTCCTACCTAAAACCAGAGACCAGGACTCCATTCAACACAGCTGGTGGGTTCCTTTACACGCCTACCTGTTGACAGTGCCTTAGGAATGACCCCAGCTGAGCTGGACAGAAGAGCAAGCCATGATGATGTGTCACATTTTAATCCAAGCTGGGAGGAAGTATTTCAGTTGTTGCTTTAAAGCACTGGAATGATATTTAGGCTCCTGTCTTCTACTGAGAAAACAGAATGCACCCTTGGCCTTTCAGAAGCGAGCCATCCTCAATCAGGGCCCTGGTGACTTAGTTCTACTTGCCCCAAGGAAACACATCACCAAGACCATGTCTTGAAGTAGCTTTCCCAAAAAAGCCTGATTTATTTCTGTGCCATGCCACCACAGTTGGTAGCTGTTGTCAATACTTGCTATTATCTTTGAAGCAAGAACATTATCAGCAGGTTTATGGCTTACTAATGCAGTGTTGAGGATTGTTTATTTTATCTGGCAGTTAGATATCTAAAAGAATGGCTTTAGGACAACGATATACATTTCAGTCTGAGGAACTCATTAATAATACTTTAATCCACAGGAGTCTTAGGCTTTATTTTGCTTTACTCGGCACCGGGAAACTCTTTTTCTTGACTTGTCCTCTCTGAACTTGCCTAACACGAGTTCCAAATCCCAGAGACTGCATTGATTCTGTTAAGCACTTCTGGTCAGGAGAAATGCACAGCATCACCAACAGTTTAGCATCACCTCCTAAAAGCAGAAAAAAAGACAAAACTTGCTTATTTACTGCATTATTTTCAGTAAGCTATGTACTGGTAATATACTGATCTACACAGCAATGAGCATAGGCTGCCATTGGTTTTATGAGGCAGATGACTGTTGAAAACAGACAGCTCCTTCAAGGGAAGTCTATATCTAGCAATATGATATTTGCCCCAGTAGAATAAGTGTCCCACAGTTTTTAATGTAGTGGGTTTGTTTTTTTTTTTTTTTCCCCCTTGTAGCTTCATCAGTTAGTCAGCCTTTATGTTATGGGTCTGGGCACTTCATTAAGCTTTGTTAGATGTTTGTAAATTTGAGGTGAGTAATGGCACAATGGCTTACTTGTGTGACAATTAAGCAAAACAGACTTAGAAGTTCACAGAGAATGATTAAACAAATAAGGAAATTGCCACTTTCAACACTTCACCTAAACATTGTCACCCAAAGTCATACACCAGGCATGGTCAAAACCAGGCTCAGTGCCCATACAACACAGCTCCTTAACCCACTTCTTTCTTTGGCTTTCCTGTCCCACAGCAGGGACTCCAGCACTAGGTGAAGCTCAAAGTTCAAGCAAAAACTAATAGTCTCTCAGAAGCTCTGAAGAACCGTTACCTCAGTCACTGTCAATGCCTTGAACTGGAGACTAAAAGCATCAGGGCTGACGCTTTCTGGCTGATGAAAAATGGACTGATGTACTATATGGATGGACACAAATCAGACATTACTGCAGGAATTACAGTTACTTTAAAACTGTTTCTGCATAGATGAGGAGGTGACCCAAACACAAAAGGAATTTGTAGCACAGTACTATGAGTATGTTCTGTCTTCCTCCTTTGTCTTACTGCTACAGGGCACAATGTTAAAGAACGTGCAAACATGTGGCTACACCCTGTAGTGATAAAGATTGAAGCTTAACTTGTAAACCATACCTGACATGAAACACCAATGAAATGCAATTATTATCCTTTGCATAATCCCATTAGACGTGTTGTGATTTTTACAAGTGTATTCTTAAACTGAACCATGAAAAGAGCAAGATTTAGCCAAATTCAGGAGGAGTTCAGAACTCTCACTGCGTACTCACACTGCTCCAAAGCCAAAGTCTTTGAATAGAGGCCCACATACAAGGGAAGAATACAGGATCATCCTCTAGTTTTATAGAACAAAGGAAGGGAAAAAATAATCTCTACTGTTAAACAAAAGTCAGAATAACCTCTCACCTAGGGAGTCCTGAAGCAGATGTGTAAGTTTGCTGTTTCTATATGGTACGTGAGATCGCTGTTCTGCTATTGCTCCAAGAACATCTGCTAGGGCAGACAAGCTGCGGTTAATAAATGATGTCTCTCTCAGTGCTGCTCCCGTCACTCCAGACATACCTGGTATGGAGTAGAAAAAGGCAATGGTAAGACTAAGCAAAGCTGCTTCCACTGTAATGTGTGAAAAATACTGTTGCTGTATCATCTACTTTTGACGCAACATTTTAAACACGGATTCTGAACCATGGTTTCTAGTCCACCCATGCCAAAAGCAAGATGCAGTGGTTTTTCACTCTGGACTGCCAATACTTGTGCAGTACTTCTGCTCTTTTGAAGGAAGGTTAAAGAAGGTTCAGTGCCTGCAGATGGTCTGAAGCACCTCATGTTAAAGTTGATCTCTTCAGCTGTACAATGCATCTTGGTTCCAAATGTATTAAGAACAGGGAACTGAGAAAGTAGGAACAACGTAAGATCAGACAAGATGGTGCTGCCTTTGAAAACACCAGTTCACAGTGTCCCCCAAGAGAAGCCTGTTGTGTTCCATCATTTTTTGTAACAGTTAACTGTCCTGTTTGTATCCCTTAGGAAAAAGAAGTGTGACACTGATGGCATAAGCTACAGAAACAAACCTGTACAGTAGCCATAAGTGCGAGGGGTTTATGTTCACCGAAGTCTGTGAGGTGCTGTTTCGTGGTATCATATGCTGTAAGGAAATGGATAAAGGGAAATTATGCCCTTCTACCATCCACCAAGCATGGTGGTATGTAGCTGCGCTGCCTTTGAGCAACACTGGAAAGGTTTGGTGTACACATCACGTTGCAGCAATTTAAGGAGGTGCTGCCTGCTCAACTCTGATCAGTCTGGATGAGTGTGCAGTTAAGAATAATTAAGTCCTCTTGTCCTTACCTCTGCTCGTTGGGGAAGATAAACTTGCTGTTAGCAATTAGCATTACATTATTCAAATTCAGCCTTTCTTCAGGATAGTGGATGAGGTATGGATGTGTCTGCAGTCACATCTCACTACCCAGAGCACATGAGCCATGCTAGCAGGAGGATCAGATGAGGTTAACAGTTTCCTCAGCCGCCTACTGTCCCACCTCTAGAGAGGTACAGAGAGAGGCTAGGGATCTTGTTTTCCCTCTAGGCCAGCATTTTCCAAATGGGGAGAACAACAGAGGTGTTCAAGTGGCAAATGTGGAAAGGCACAGTAATAGCAAAAACCCCAGAAGTCTGGACAGTGAAGGCTGGAGTGTTAGAGTCTCTTGGCAGAGAGGTACAGAACAAAACAGTTTGGAAGACCCTGCTGCAGGGTGGACAATAATCTGAGATAGGATGTATCTCAGACTCATTTTATTGGTGTCATTGTGTATACAGCCATTCCCAGGCTTCTTTTATAGCAAGTGAAGGGGGAGACCTGAGACAACGTTTATCACCCTAATGCAGAAGACTGCAAATAGGTGAGGGGCTACACGTTTAAACTGCTGATTACATAAACTGAATCTACATTTGGTTAGATGAACTTCCACAAAGCATTGAGCCGAGTTTTCAAACCAAAACCTGGTTTGCTACAAAGGGACCGCTTTGCTTGTAAACACTGTAAGCGATCCAGGACAGCTGTAGAGCTAACCAGGCAGGGCGCTGTGTACTGCTGCTCACTCTGATTTGTCCACATTTTAAAACAGTTATGAGTTAACAGCCGCCCTCACTTTTATCAGAGTAGCTGATGGCAGAGGTTGGTCTGCTGCGTGTGCTGCGCCACACCTAACGCTGATGAAAGTGAGCCCAGCTCTTCTGGCGGCACTGGGGGATCTGGCCCACCGAGCCCCAAACCAAGTAAATGTTTGTCCTGGTTGAACTGAGAGAACAAATACACACACTGTTGCTCAATTACATGTTTACCAAACAGTTTCCAGCACTCAGAGCAAATGAAAAAAATAATGTATTATATTAGGTTTCTCTGTAGAACAAAAGTTTAACAGTGAGCAACAGCAAGAATTCTTGGCAGTAAAGTAAAAGACTCTTTCATAATACTGGTTCAGTTTTCAAAACATTATTTCTGGAATGGTACATTTGGCTGGATGGCTTTTCTTGGTAAGAAAGCTTGTCCTTTAGGAAATAATCAAGTTTTTGAAATTATTGTGTGCATAGAGGAGGCAGGAGGAAGAAAATGCTTTGAAGGAACAATGAAAACAATATTATCTTTTCAACACTAACTTCCTCCAAGACTTTTTCCGCAATAAGGCAGAAAAACCCACACATGATGATATCAATTATTACAGATATTTCTAGTATTTGAATAATTTATGCACTTTAAACATTTCTGTACAAAGACATGCTAATTTTCAGAGTAGAAAAACAGGCCTAATAAAACCAGTCTGAACAAATAATACACCTATGATAGGGGTAACCGCCCTGGGCTTATTTCAAGCTTATGCAGTCAGATCTTCAGTTAAACCGTATCAGTGTAAAACTGGAACAATCAGCCTCCAAAACTTTGTTTATGCCAGGATCCATGGGTTTAAACCACCCTGTGTGAAAGCAGGGTAGCCGGTATCTCTACATGAGGAGGTAAAGACAACTTTTGTAACCTCCATCTGGGAGGATGCATGCCTGTAAACAGACCCGTTTCCTCACCAACACACTCGCTACCAGCCAGGTCCACCAGTTGCAATCTAGTTTTGACTTGCTTAATTTTCTCAGTTTCTTCAAGTTGTGCTGGTGAAGAGGCTCTAGAAGAAGAGGTGGACCTATTGTCTCTCATTTTTTGTGGAAAGGTGCAGGAAACCTCTTTATTTAGTTTCTGACTGGTTTGTTCATCTTCCCACGAAGTACCTGCTTAATTGAAAAAACAAACAAGGAGAGCTTCTCAATGACACTGGAAATTCAGATGGGGAAAAATGGGGCATCAATAGGGGAAGTACAATATCTGCTGTTTGAGGCTATTCTAACAGAAGCAATATACAAGTCAGAATCAATGGCATGGGCAGGCTGAATGACTTTTTCTCTCTTATTTAAAGTTTTGTTTGTCAAACCGATTGCACCAGTTGGTAACAAGACTCGGTGTAGGTTGTGTTGTAGCTCATATCCCCCTTGTTCACACTGCTGTGTGGACAACAGGAAGCAGGAGTCCAGCAAGGACTTTAAATGAGGCATTTTTTCATGTTTTAGATTGACTGCAACCAAAGTGAGCTTTTGGATGTTTGAGAGCACTAAGCTCTGAAGTCTGTTTCTATGTATTTGAAACATCGCCTGCTAGTGCCCTAGCAAAAAAAAAAAAAGTTCATCTTGCCTCTTCTATTTTGTCCTTCGCTGCTGTTCCCTCTAGACTTTCTTCAGCCCTCATATCCCACTGCTGCACCACCCCATGATGAGCTATTAGCCTCAATAGCATTATTCCCACTTGTTCAGGTTGGTTACCTACTACTCCTGGTAGTTCTGTAGCTGCACTAGATTGCTTCATATCCTTCCTCTTCCTCAGCATCTGGCCTTCACTCTCTGCAGGGAAGGAAGAGGAAGACAGATTCTTTGGGAAAGCTGCTTTGACATTAGCTTAGCAGAAGTATATGCAAAAGGGCTTTCCCAAAGCAGTTTGGCTTCTTTCCTTCAGTGTTTTGGTTTTCGACAACAGACTCCTGGAGACTTTAAGAGTCTAGTTGCAATAGTACAAAGTTCTGAGCTGCAAAATGTGAGTAAGGAACAGGTTGAATTGGGTTGCAGAGCTCTGTACCTCTCCAGCTAGGCTGCTGCTAAAACCCAAGCTAGCTTTTTGCTGTGTAGAAGGAGCAGCTGTGTTGGTTTACACAGAATAAATGGCTTCAGACCTGCCAGTGTAAAAATAAGTGTTCTCACTCCTCTTCAGTTTGAGATGAGGAAACTAAGTAACTGCTCTCCTCAAACAACAGATAACACTGAAACAAAATGCTAAAAGTCATTAATCAAACCTGAAAAAGTGCTGCCTTGTCAACCCTGGCTCTAGGTGCAGAACTCATCATAGACCATAACTTTTTATTTAGTGACTTAGATCTCCAGTGTTGAGATATTTGACAACTGCACATAGCTTTTAACTCAGGAATTTCTCCTTTTAAACAAGACAGTGTGCTGTCACACTGGATAGCGAGGTCCCATTTGCAGTGCTGCTCTACCCCCCCCATATTGCACATCTTCATGCACAATGAGCTGAAAGCCTGACTCTGCATTCAACATAAATTTGACAATTCTGTAGAGTTTTGCTGCCAGGCAATATGGCATAGTAGAGTGACTGCAACTGGAAGTGGCAAAGTAAAGTCTGTACTAGAGAAAATGGCTGGCGAGCTAATGGAGCAGAAACTGCTTTGAAAAGTAACATCTGTCTGATTGACAAGAATCTGGAACTGGCTAGAGCTAACATCTGGAATGCTGGAGCTGCAACTTGTGAAGTAACTGTGTCTTTTGGCAAGGTCCACAGGTAAGCAAGGGCACTGTTTGTTCTGCTTCGCTAATATTGACAGTTTAATTTCTGATAGCAATCTAAGGGAAAAAATGTTAAATATTTTTCACTTTCTAAAACCAAGTTGTTGTTGCAGAGCATGAAGGAGATGGACCACAGCACTGGAAGCAGAGAGCCTAATTGCAACATGAGCAAAAGAAAACAAACTTAGCCCCTCCAAAACCAAAATTATTCCTAAAGCAATAAACTGGTAAGTCTTGGTGTGGTAATGAAAAGTAGAAACATAGGTTTTGCCATAGTAAATAAGACATCTATGTTGTCTGCTCCTACAGTGGCCTATTATTTACAGTTCAAGAGACTCTGAATTTAATGGACATTTTTGCAAGGCAGTGGGTAGAAAAAAAAAAATAATTCTTTCTCACTCAAAAGCATATGATGATCCCTAAAATGCATGGTTAGCTTTACCGCAAACTTAGCATGACTAATTATATGAGATGTGATATGAAGTGATTTAACCGTGGAACGTGAGTATCTATCTTACTGATACCTTGTCTATCTTATACCTTATCTTATGACTTATTGGTAAAATTTATCTCATTAGTTGTTTCATGCTATAAGACTTCAAGAACTCTAATCAAAACATGTAAAGAAAAGTGAAAAGTTTTTATGAGAGTGAAAGTTTCAGTAGCATTCAAACATCAAACTGGTCTGTTATTTAAGAAGGTATGTCGAGGTTAAACAATGGGAAAGAACTGAGGGAATGTATTAAACATTGGAAAAAGGGGGGAAAAACGGTATGAATATCTCTCAGTCCGCTGACTGTTTTTCAAAAAACAACTGGCTCTAGATGTAGTTTAGTAACATCCTACTTACCGAAGTTATCTCCAGAGACAATTGTGGTTATGGTCAATGTAACTACCAGATGAGAACGAGAGGAATGAGCATGCACCAGTGTTGGGTGCCTGACTCTCAGCTGTAGGCCTTTGTTGACTAGATGCAAAAATTCAGATGCATTTTCAACAGTCCTAGGAAGTAAAGAGACAAGCAGAAGATTTAACTGACTCACAGCAAAAATCACGTGAGAAAGCTGACAACTTGGATGTGAATCTGAGTATTTCTTTTTCCCCGTTCTTCTACAGCCTTACACCAATCTCAGTTTTGAGCTGCACAAACAACTGTATATAGCCTTTTTCAGGCGAGATATAGTCCAGGATGAAAATTCAAAACAAAAGCTATGAGGTAATACTGAAAGTGCTGAAGAAGTGGCCTGCCAGCGTTGCAAGTCTATAGGTACTGTAGCTCAGCTCTAGATGTGACTGAAGTTCCTACACCTCTGCACTTTGGAAGAAAAGACACAGATTTAGACTTTCCTGGAATCTCTGGTCTTACAGAAGTGGAGTTGTCCAGTTTATGTTAAGGTAGCTCCCATTCTTTGAAGGTACAGAATTAGGGGGAAAAAAAATGAAATTTCTCTGGGCCCATTGAAATCATATTTCACATTTGGAATTAAATCCAGAATCCTTAGAAAAAAAAGTTTAATTCCACTGTTCCATGAGCAGGGACTCAAGCGCAGTGTCAGAATAGACAGACAAAAGTGTCTATAGACCGTTTTATCTTGTACTAGCTGCTTTCTTTTCTAGTTAAAGGAAATACTGCAAATACGACCAATCAAAGGGCAAAAACCTAACACAGAAAGTGAAATAAACTGATGAGGTAAAGAAGAAACTCACTACGATTTCCTCCAGGTTTGCAATGTTTAAAACAAATGAGGTAAGATTGCCTACCCTTTCCTTTCACTGCACTGCCTTCTGAAATAATCACTCAAGTTACATCACCTAAACATTAGTTTCAAGTTGGGAGTCTAAATTACTATGACTGCACATCACAGCTTGGTAACTGAATGCCCTATAACACCAGAACCATTAATAACTCTCCTGACAGGCTACAGGCTTGGTTCCACATCGCTGCACTCCGAAAAACCAAGCATGCAATGAAAGGCAAGGCCTCCATGACTTGGATTTGGCCGATGTCAGTGAAAGTCATGCTGGGCACAAATTTATTTTAGGCTAAGAAGAGCTGCACTTGGAGAGTTGAGAGACAAAAGAGGTATACCCATTGAAATCAATTTCCTCCAAAAATTAAGCATTTGAAGAACAGAAAAATGCTTAGCCACACCATGCTTATGGACACTTAAGAGAAACAGCCACCTAAAAGCAGTTCCCTGTGTAACCAGCGCTGCAGGAGCTAAATGATCGCTATAGACTTCACCTGTGAATCCCGAGCTGCACGTGCTGGCCTCCCCTGTAATCTCTCTGCCTCTCTGCATCCTTGGGTAATGTCTCCCTGGTTGTTTGACCTGGCAGCAGCAGGGAAGCAGCGGCTCTAGTTCCTCCTGTCAGAGAAGGCAGAGCCTCACACTGGGGTGACCTGACCGTTGCCTCAAGTCCAAGGAGGCAGATGTTGCCTTCCCGAGTTTTGAACTGCATCTTCTAATAGCTGGTCAGGCAGGACTGGACAGCCCGAGAGGTCAGCAGCCTTCACTAGGATGTAGCAACTGGCAATCGGCTGCTGCCAGCTGCTGCTGTGCACTGGCCAGGGGCCAGTGCTACAAGCTGCTCTATTCTAACTAGCGTTAGCAGAAGGGGATAGGCCTCAGTGTATGCTCTCAGTGCTGGTCACCTCCTGGGAAGCTGCAGTTGACTGGAGGTAAACAGCATCCCCAGCCCAGTGCTGCAAGCTTAGCCCAGTAGCTTCTCAGCAGGGCTGACAGTAATAATTTTTCAGTATAACCTCTACAACTTTATCATGCTGTATGTACTGCACGTTCCAGGACCAGATTCTACAAAGAGAAGCCCTGTTGTGGTTAGGTTAAAAATTTGATGCTGAACGTCCTCCAAAGTCAACCAAGCCATCAAAGAAGAAAAAGACTGGGGTTTTCGTGATTCAGTAGGATGTACATGTTAGCAGGAAAGAGACTACTGTACTTTAATGGGTATATGGAGAAGCCAGTGAGGCTCAGCAGGCCAATATATTCTAGATGAAATATTATCACAAATGAGGATGTGTTTTTATTCAAAGCATCAGCTGTTTCCTTTAGATTTCAGGCAGCTGGGTGGCCTCATTCAATGGTTCCCTTACTTTGTTTGGGTTTGCTTTTTCTTATTAACCTTTCTGTGTAATTATTAATATAACCTGTTTATGAATTGGACTTTTTTCACTGTTTGCATTGTAATTGAGATATAAGTCCATATTCTTATTTATATTTGCATTAGAATTTATCAATTGATCGAGATAAGTGGTTTTTAAGAGGTGCTTAGTTCAAGGCACCAAGGCACCAGGTTCCTTCACCATAAATTAAAGTTTACAGAAATAAACAGAACAGCCATTTTATGAACTAGAAGGACAAATGAAACCTTACAGCAACTTCTAGTTCCTGCCTCTATGGCACAAGCCCAGCTCTATCTCACCTCTCCCTTCCTGAAAGCCTGGGAAAAGAGATGGGTCACCCACTAACTATGCAAAGATCCCTTGCGAAGGGGAGTAGGACTTTTTCAAGAATGAAACCAGGCCAGCATGTTGGTTATTGAAATGCCATAATTAAAAACTACTTGGAGGTTCTGATGAAGCAGGAAAAATTCAACTCCCATCATACCCACACTATATGCTCCCATTTTCAGTTTCTAAGTCATACAGTTCCTTTCTGCTCTAGTCAAAGGAAAGAGATTAGCTCCTTCAAGAAAGATTCAGTACACACACACATTAAGCTCCACTCCCGACCTCTTCTGAAAGATTTTTTCCTTTCCTTGACAGAAGAGTCTTAACCACATGCTAAAAGTTGGAGTAGTCACAGCTGGGGAAATCTAAGAACAGAGACTAAGAGAAACCCACCAGTCAGTATACTAGAGACAGAGAGGGCAAAAGGATTCATCAAGCTTTGGTCATTTTTCATTCATTTCATGCTCTTATGGAGCATGCAGATTGCAAACAAAGATGCAGAATTTATCTGGAAATCATATTTAACCTCAATATTGAAGAGCAGGCATACCCCAGATACAAATGTTAATCCTTCCTAGAATATTGCAGTGATTATTATTTCATAGAAAGAAAGGAGAGTTATATAGCCCCCATGGTGAAGAAAACCAATTTACAATTTCTCTGGGATCCAATTTCCTATGAGTTGTTCAATGGCTAGAAATACAAGTCAATAAATGTGTATAACTAGGTAGAATCAAAGTATGCTTGCGCTGGGTTCTCCAGTACATTCTTGTATTGTCATCAAGGCTTTCTGGCGACAGCATAAACCCACAGAAACAAACAATTACTAGTCTGCTTATGTGACTAAGTCCCACAAGACAGAAATACTGCCTTCAATTATTTACACTGAGGGTGCATTTTATTTTAATGGGGATGGAGGGAATGCTTTTCATATCTGACTTCTAATTCCTCCTGGAAAAGTAGAGATCAGACCATGACAAGCATTATTACAGAGAAGTGAAGCAAAACAACATGTTTCCTCCAGAAATGTAAACCACTATAATACTGTGCTAAACATTTCAATAGGGCAAGATGTTTCTTTTCACAAACATTATTTGCCCAAAGAACAGAACATTTTTTTCTAAGTTGCTAGACCTCTCTGTAGTGCACAAGCAGAAATAATTCCCTTCTGGAATCTGCTCACATGCTGGGCGCTCACAGGTAAATGTCCAGTAGCTTAATTCCACTGGGTAGCATCACTCCTCTGGTGCCACTAGTACTGCTTGTCATAATTTGGTTTTGTTACTGTAGACCTAATACTAGCATGAATACCACACCTGTTACTAAAATGATGCATCTGAAGCAGATTCACTCTTGCTAATGTGTGAATTGTTATAAGCATGTGATTTTTACCATACAATTAGCTGAGTGTTTCGTATATAACAAGAAAGTATTACACATTTTCTTTATATACTACACATACGTAACACCAAGAAGCATTCCCATGTTTACTAGAACAAGCCTTTGTAATTCTTAGGAAGTACAAGAAGGCATTAAAATAAGTACAGCTGTGGCCTTACCTACCTTAGGTCTCCCTACACTGCCAATATGTGTAAATAAGAATCAAACTTACCATATACTGATGGTGGGAAGGTATGCCTCTTAAAACAGAGTGAGTAGAAGCTTAGCTGCTACTCAGCTTTTAGTTTGAAGAACCTGGATTTTCAAGAACTACAGGTTCAAATGTCAGCATATCAATTCCTACTTTAATGTCTCCAGTTAAGAAAACAGAATAGCAGGCAGTCATTTATATTAAAAGATCACTTAAAATCTTATTCTTTCTAAAGTAATTTTTTTTTTAACTCCAGTGTGTGTAGGGAAAGCTAACACTCTACATCTGCTTAAAGATCTACAAGAAATACATACATTTCTATTATGTGTAAATTTTACAGTTTAGTAAGAGTAAAGGGAAAGTGCTTTGAGTGGGTTACCCCTTCTTTTTCTACAGCTGACAAGATCCGGGACAACAAAATACACTGCTATCATCACGCATGCTGAGTGGAAGGCGCTTAACACAAGATTACAACCAAAACTAATTGTACTGTTACTTCAGAAAGTATTTTGACATTTGCAGCCAACTGAAGTCTAATACACTGAGCTAATGGAAACAGTGAGAACCATCCCATTTTTTCTTTTGCATATGACAAGGACTCATTGTTTAGAAGTGATAACTGGTGACTATAGTGTAATTTTGTGACAGCTGTGCATTGCATTGACACCAGATCATGATTGGATGATAAGGATCAAGTCATGTACTTACTCATACGTTAGCAATGGAACTTCACTCTTTCCTTCTCTGGTTGTGACAACATCACGTTTAACACCAAATACTTTTCCACAACTGTCTTTGGCCAAAAGATCGAAAATTTCATTATTATACACTTCTACAACAGAAACCTCAACCCAGCAACTGCCTGGTGGCTTTTCTGAAATAAGCCTGGAGAATAAAAATAGAGGAGAAAAAAAAAAAAAAAAAAAAAGCCCAAAAATGTAGAAGTCAAACTCCAAGTGAGCAATCTGTACATAAAGATCTATTCTGTAATTGTAATCTAATTACAATCTGATAAAAGTGCTTATTAAATACCCACAGTAGTGGCTTTGCCTCATCCACATGCTCATGTTAAGTTGAAGAATCAGAATATACAGTCAAATTATAGGTGAAGCAGTAAATAAAACTTAATTTTCCAAACAGCTGTGCCAGCTGAAATTGTTTTTCTCCACTAACCTCCCTCCTCAAGATTTTTTTATGCCATTTCTCTGCTGGACATTATTGGATTCAGAGTTCAAGGTATGATAAACTCTGGCAGAGTGCAAGCAACAAACAGAGATAGTAAACTGCCCAGCTAGACCTCTAAGAGATTATCTGTCCACAGCCTCAGAAAATTCATAAATTAAGGGCTTGTCTGTTCAGGAGAGTATTAACAGTTAGACACAGTTATTCTGGTACAAAATTGGATCTTTTTGATTCAGTTTACACCCTTCTCCAAAAGAAATAGGCTCATCTAGAAAAACCTCTAATGGCTCTTCTATTATAACATAGTAGCATATGAGTTCAAATAATTCATTAGGTTCAACTAAAAAAAAAAAAAAAATCTAAGAATCCTCAAAGCAAGAACAGATTGTGGTTAAAAAATCTATCATTCTTCTTTGGGACTGGGTTCTAGTCTGGATGTTCTTCAATTATTCAAATCAATTTTTACAAAATTTGTAAGAACTACTTAATTATGTTTTGGACTCCAACAACTATGGTTGAAACATATTCCAAAGTTAATTAGGAGTCTGAAAGACAGATAGACCAATAACACACATCAAGATTACATAATCTTATTTTCTTAGAAAATCAGTCTGAGCAGGGGAGAGACTAGAAATCTACATCACAACTCACATATCGAATGGCAGTCAGGGAAGCTATAAATATTAATCACTGCGAAGCTGAAATCTGTAATGATAAATACATTACAAATATTATTTCATCCTTTCTATAAAGTTTAAGGTGACTGCCACTGCCACGAGTCTTTACTTAGTTGTTACCTGAACACTTCTTGGGTAGCTCGAGGAATAATTCCAAGTTCTGATTCATCTTCTGTGGAGAATGCAAAGTTCTCCTCCATCTGTGATCCCAACATTGTGTATGTCTTCCCACTTCCAGTCTGCCCATAAGCCATGATACACACATTGTACCTGAAAATTAATAGGGCCTTCATTTATTTCACCATTACCAAATGTGTTCGTTAGATGGCAAGCCAAACCCCAGACAATTTGGGAGCACAAACAAACAAATACACACACTGCCCTGCAGATTTCTTTCTGGAGATCTCAAAATCTAACAGAAACTAAAGTACTGCTCATAACATTGCCTAAACAGATTTTTATTTTTTAAGCAGAGTTGAAGGGCAGGGAACTGACCAAAGAGGGATGCTTAGCTTGGAATGACTGATGAGGTTAGACCTCCTGTCTGCCCAACTTCCAGTTCACGCACTACTGAGCTGCTTGTTAATCAGCTCCTGGAACCACTGCAGTTTACAGTACAGCATTTTAAAGTAAACCATTGCTGGGTTTCATTTGTCTTACAGTGCTATGCTGCGAACCACAGCACTAATATCTTAACATCTGGGAACAGTAAACTCTGCAGCTCTTGGAGTCTTTTTCAGGCAGGCTCATCAGTCATAGCCCTCAGTCACTGGAAAAGATAAGACAGCCCTAATAGTAAACGGTACAAATTTTAAACCAAGTAATACCTTACTTCAGTATAAGCATGCACACAAAGATGACTCTGGAATAAAGGAGGTAGGAACTGCTCTGATACAGACGTGTAGACGGTGACGATGTACCATATACCACCACAGAGGTACAGGCACCTGTGAAACACAACTCATAATTTTCTGAAGTAGACGTGTAAAATACATCTAATGAACAGAACTCTGAAAATGACTGTTTCTCTGCATCGAAAATAATAATAATAAAAAAGTCCACAGCTGTGAGCTCTGTTGTGGATGTCTGTGCTGCAGAGATCAGAAATTCAGTGTATGAAACCTATCCAGAAAGTGTGTTTCTAACACAGTCAGATCAAAGTCAACATCTTAAGAAAAACAAGTAGGCGGATACAGCTGTATCCGGCCACGGTACTACTTCGTACGGAGGAGGAACACCGTGCTGTGCAGCTGAAGGTTAGTCCCTGCTCGCCTGCGTCTGCTCTGCGGCACCTGCCAGCACCTTGGTGTTGACCACAGAACCGTGCCAGCAAAAACTCTTGGAAGACATGCAGTTATGCTGACAGGACTGCTCCCTCCCTGGAGAATCTTGTTTTGTTCAGAGATACAACATTAGCAAAATCTTCACACAAGAGGAGTGCTTTGCAGTATGGAGAAATTTCTGCTCTACTAGAGAGTTGCAAGAACGGGCTTGCTCCTGTTTGCCAGGGAGTAAAATTTCACTGCCTAAGCTACCTCCCTCTGTGGGCAGACCTGAACAGCTGCTTTCGGTTATCCGATGCTTTTCTTCATATCAAAAATGTTGTTTCAAGCACATGCCGGCAAATTTCAATGAACACCTCTCATCTAATTGTTTTAAATTTATGATTTCAAGTCATGAAATACTTACATGGCCACTGCAGAGAAATATATTTGCAGTGATTTTTTTGCATATTAAACATGCCTAGAAGCAATCATTTTTGGAATATGATTTAGAAAGCTTTCTCTTATTAGAAAGAAATGTGGGCTGATAAGCAACACAGCAAATACCTGGGTACCCCTTTGGGAATGCAAAGTCAAAGTTGCAGTCAGCGAACCTATGGTAAGGTCCCTCCACATTTCAGGATGCAGGGTATAAAGCAGAAGTCTAGTCACAGATTTGAGGAAGTAAAGGAGATAACTGTAACTGACAAGAAAGAACACTACAGCAAAATGAAATGTGCCAGAAATTAGGGCTGTAAATCTGAAACATGGGATTTCTCTAAGTATTCACTGCTGACATAACTCTACTTGCATTTATGTCAGTGGAAAAACTCCCACTAATTCTGGTAGTTTTCAGCTATGTTAACAATGAGCAATTTTCACAATTCCACCCCTAATGCACACTGCCTCGCCAGCCCGTAGCTTATTGAGACTTCTAGTCCCACTTAAAAATCAGAGAGATCTTTGGAACCAAAAGGGAGCCAGAAGTTTGCAAGCAGTAGTCTTCCACAGGAAAACCAGAATGGAAGTCTTTTTAGAAGTCTCTCAAACTTTCATATAGTCCAGCTATTCAACTTTTCTTTAATTGCTACTTGTTAGAAAGTAAGCATCATGGACAAAATAGTTCTGACAAGATACAGATGACATGATTAGAAGCTAAGTAGACAGGTGCTTGTAACACTGAAAACAGAGATGCAAATCACGTATCAATCAGTGGTAACTTCTCTGCCAAAGCCAAACCAGTATTTCATTCAATAAGCACAAATGAGCTAACACTATCCGAAGAAGTATTGTATCTAAGTAGGCACAGGAGAGAAATGTAATTGTTGGGCGGTTGAACAAGAAGACAAGCAGCAGCAGCAGACAAGTTTATATTTACCTAGGTTACTTTGTTGGTGTTCTGGTTCCAAGGCAAAGGTTTCAAATAGAGCAATCTGAAAATTTCAGACTGTGATTCACCTCCGTGCCCTGACATTTCTCCTTCTCCATTCTGCTTCATTAGTTACATTCTTGTTTAGAAAAGTTCTTACTGTCAAGCTAGAATACTATTAGTCTTGTAATATTTCCCTCCTGAAAAGAATGTGGGTGTCTAGTACAGCAAAGTTACCACTAGGAAAGAACACTGTTAAAGGAAACCGAAGGAGGAGAAATGTATTCTTTAAAATAAACAAACAACTTTGATTCTTCAATGCTGTAAGGAAAAGATATATTATCTTACTCCCTTGCTGGCCCTGTATGGCTAGCTGCAAACTTTGAAGCCTGCTGTACTTTGTTTTGCATAGGGAACAATCTTTTTGTCCTGTATATTTATACTGAAAAATGAAACAATTCATTAACAAAGAAAAATAAAGAAAAAATAAAGGAGTGGAACACTCCTTTCTACTTAAGCTAAAAGTTGTTACAGACCACTTTGGAGCCCAGACTAAAACAATCAGGAGCAGCAAAAAGGTTCAAGGTTCAGACTAAGTATGTCTGTTTCCCATTTACAATGGGAAGGCTGCTGAGAAGCATGGCTCATACACACAGCCTCGCCTTCCCTGAAAATCTGCTTCTGTTTAAATGGCTCTTCTGGAAGAACAAGACAACTCTTTTGTTCTCAATAACAGAACATTTCCTAACTGAATATAAAAATCCCAGCTTTTAGGACAGGATTCTCTCAATGTGGAAATTAGAAAGCAGGAAGTCCAGCAGATCAAGGTACAGATCAGATATGTCTGAAGATACACGGGCAGCATATTGAGCCAAAGCAAACATGTTCATTGCAGAAGGAAAAGCAGAGAGAGAAAACAGTGGTTATAAGGACTTCTTCAAACTCCTCCAACCTAGTGGTCCCTAGGTTGCTCAGCTATGGAAACTGTGGTTACCCAGCTTTAGTAAACCAGAATAATGCCATCTGGGCCACACAGGATTCCCCTTAGCCCAGGTAGCCCTTTTGGGCCCCTCTGAGGCACGAGTAAAGGGATGGCTGGGATTTCCCAATATGCACAACATCCTGATATGACTCTTCTAGGCTGCTTTTAAGGAAAGGAGACTTTAAGGAAAGTGTGCAGACCGCTGGGAACGGATTACCACTCTTCAGCTATGCCACTGTGGATGGAAAGGGACTGGCTTTCCCTCTACAGGGAGGGAACGGTCCCTGACAGCTCTACAACAACCATCTATAATTGAGTGGAATTAGAGTAGGGGTGAGAAAGGATCAGGAGGGAAATTCTGCATAAATCTCAGTTCAAGCCTCAAGGATTATAACACGGTTTCTTTGCAAGAGTAGCTTAAATTGGCTCTAGTATAAATGAAGAGTCACACTTCATGAACCATTTAGTGGCTAGAAGTAATTACATATATTTGTTAGTGGTTGTTACTAATCAGTTTTGTATTCAAACCAGAATTCTGTTTTAAACCCAGTGCCTGAAGGAGTGTTAGAACCATGAGTGAGGAAGCTCAGGTCTGGTTCAACCAGGAATTGAGTATACAACCTCCTATGGCCTTTGCTGTACAGAAAAACAGGACAGATGATCAGAGAGTGCCCTGGCAGGCCTTTCATGTATGAGTACACTGGTGGAAAAGATGCATCATAGTGTGTCTACAACTGAAAACCAGTTATAAAACATAACTTGCCAAAACAAAAAAAAAAGATAGTATCTTCCATTAGAAGCAAAGCTTAAATTTGCCAGAAAGAGACCAGAGAAAAAAAACCTGTTTTTTTTTTTACCCCCAAATTTGTCTGCTCTGCTAAATTTTGTAAACGGTGTTTTCACTGTTTATATGGGGAAACAACATTCACTTGGTGTTGAGCAGAAAGGAAACAGGAAGATGCAACTGCAAAGCCACAAAACTGGACAGGACCACTACTACTACAACTTTTTTTTTTTTTTTTTAATTGATGAATTTCAGTAGATTGTTGCCCTTTAGCTTTCTTACTCCCACCTTTTAACTTACCCATCCAGGAGAGATGTTAGCAAAGGGGCCACATCTGCAAATACTGTGTCTTGAGACTCTGAAGCATTGTAAACTCTGAGGAGCAAAGTGCAATGATTAACTGACGAAAAAATATAAATATGCTGTCACAATAGAAGAATACTAACTAGGGAAAATGTAGGCTGGTGACATAAAACTTGCGACCTGCTGACATTTCTGTCAGGGGACTGAAAATTAGAACTCCAAGGTTCTCACCTGCTTTTTGGCAGCAGCTGTTGTATGTGCTGGAGGGAACGACCCGCAGGTGTTCCCCTGGGACTCTCTGAGCTCATCCTAATCCTTCTGTCTGCTTCTCTGGCACACAGAATCTTCTTTCAGGCTGTTCTGGATCCCTGTTACTTTTTCCCAACTATCAGACTGAAATGTCCCTGCTGCCTGTGTCTCCTTTGTGTCACACTAAGGGAGGGAGGGGTCAAGTTGTGTTTCCCTTTAGATGTGGAGAAGGACTGGGAAAAAAAGAGGTACAGAGGCTGCAAACTTGCCTTGGGACTTGTCTGAGAGAAGTCAGTGGCAGAGCAGAAATCAGAAGGCCCCTGAGGGTCATGTTTAAGGATACACTGTCTTTATGGGCAGCACCAGCCTAAGGTATTTCTATCCCCATCCCTTCTGAACTATCTAGTCTGAAATAAACACTTCTCACTGGAAGGAAGGACTTTCTTTTACATTGTGATGTGGATTTCAGACTAATTTTTAATCAGAATGAAGGACAATTAAATTGAATGAGTTAATCCACCTCTTAGAACAGAGCACTGACAGTACAGTCCTTGGCCCAAAACAATGATGTCTGAAACAACCGCATATGTTTTTTCAAATTCAAGGAAAAAAAAAAAGTTAACACAGGGCTCTTCAGAGAAATTTTTCCTCCAAGCCCTTCAACTGTAAAGTCTGTACAACATAAAAATCAAGACCTGAAAATAGGAAATCAAAGGGAAGAAATTCCGATCCCAAAATGTGGACACCCTAACTCATTAATTTCTTCCCTAGCACACCAAATACTTACCTTCCCCCACATAACAGCCCACAGTAAATACTGTTTATACAAGATGAACAAAATCTAAAACATGAATGTCATTAGCCACACTTAAGGATCTGAGCTATGCATGTTTATTTTTGGAAAAAGTTTCCTTTTCCGATATCTTTCTGTTGTGATTCTTTCTGTTTGTTTGTTTATCTCTCTTTTCCAATGAGTGATGGATGTACTTCATAGCTTATAGCAAAATGACTAATTAGAAACAGGAATTTTGCTACCAGCAAACATTACAAAGCATAGTTACTTCCCTGTGTATATAGTATACTAGTACACTTCACTTGGCAGCACCCCACAGCTTGTATATGATACTACAAGTTTAACTGAATGAAGACATAGTGTGCTCTTTAGGATTTACTAAGCTTCTTTGTATATTTGACCAGGATCTGACAACTATGGTCTACGGCCTGCAGAAATGTAGATTTTGTATTAATGTTCCCCATAAATAAGACTGTACAGAGGGATCACTGAAAAACAGACACAGAATTAGAGCCAACCCACTTAGTTCAGCATTTTGTTCCTGACAATAGCCAGAGGAAGGAGCAAGAAACAGTGGTGGCTGGAGACCCAATAATTCATCTCTGCGTCTCATCCTAATCCTTAAAAGCTGTAAACTGGCCTCCAAACTGAGATATGAATTGAATCTCTGTTTCAAAAAAAATATTATTAGAATTAGTATTCAGTTTCTTTTTTCATCTTGCTGAATTCTTGGCCCTGAGTAACATCCTGTGGCAATGTGTTCCACAGTCTAATTGTAAGTTGCATGAAAATGTACTCTCTTTAATCAGGAAAGGAGCACTTGTCTGGCTTGATGGACAAATACTGCTTGTCTTGCCATTCCACTGATGTGCTGTCATACTACACTGAGAAACCAACAAATATGCAGAGATGTGGCACAGTTTGTACTGGGAGGACACAGACACTGAATAGCAACATTCCATCCTTGCTTTGCAGGCATACATGTGCTTCAGTGAACCTTGCACGTCACACCTGCAAGGTCAGAGCAAAAGCACTTCCAAACACTTTCTCTCCTTCATTTATCATCTGCAGTTGATGAAATATTCATTAGCACCGAGCTCTGCATCTTAACCAACTAAGTCTCTAACTCAGTATGTGTTGAAACTATATTTTTTTTCTTTAATGCATCAAAGCATCTCAGAGCTACTACATAAAAATCCCCCAAGCAAACAAAAAGGTCTTTTAGAGATGAGAACATGCATACTGTCCTCACTTGCTGTTGATGGGGTTTGCTGTTTAGTAAAGCAAAGAGATTGCTACTGGCCAGAGCTAGAATCAACCGGTTTTAGTGGTCTGTTTGCACTACTAAGTAGTACAGCCACAGCTAACTATGTCAGGTCCGGGCTCTGGTAGCCATTTAGAGGAAAGGCATGGGGCTCCATATTACAGTAACTACTCCAAATATTTACTCAACTTCCTAAAGGGGTTTTACTGCCACTACTTAGCTGCTGTGGTTCAAATGCTACCAGTACCCAAACAAAGTAGTTTGAAGTTGTCTTGGACTGGTTTATGCTACACTGTAATCACAGCACTGACTGAAGCATGGACACCCACTTAACTAGTTATGTGAGACCATGAAAGATGCAACAAATCCAGAGAATCTCTTTCTATAAGCCCTCTTTCTATAATCTATGTGTATTTTTACCAGAATGATGACAGATTTGTCCCTGTGTAGTGATTAATGTTAATTTCACCTTGAAAATTCTGAGCTTCTTTTTTATTTTGTTAACTGATTTGCCAATAAAATTATAAAAGCATAACATGCTGAAAGCTGGAATTTTCTTCCTGAGCTGAAATCAAATATTTTGACATTTATTAGTTCCATAAAACGTTGCTAAAAAAATAAACATTTTTGAGTTCATAAGAACCATATGCTCTTCTGTTTATAAAAAAGAGCTGTGCTGGGACACTGAAAAAACATTCCCCAAGAACTGCATTTTTTGGGGGATTTACATTTTTTTAACCCTTTTCCTGATTATCAGGATCTACACCACATGTCGAGAGTTACAGCACCTCTGGAGTCCCGTGTCAATACCATTAACTGTGTTGCTCTACAGAGTTCAATTCCAGATTATTCTGCATTTACTTTAAGTGGTATGGCTGTGTTAGGTATAGCAGGAGGGTGAAAAGAATTACTTTGAGTAGCTTAGAAACATGCGAGGTGGCCATGTACCTTGAAAGATTTCGTATGCCTTGTATCAAGGGAGTCCTATAAACTTATGGAGTCAATAAAGCTTCCCCAAGATTTGCATTATCTCAGGAATTTTCAGTTGTTTGATGGCCTACAAAGCAGCAGTCCCCAGTCTTTGTGAGTAGAAAAAGGCAGCATTTTAGAAGGATGCCTCAAGGAAAGGGTGAATGATTGGCAATGTTTAGCAAACCTGCAGCAGTTCAGACTGAACAGGCTCAGAACTTAAGTTGAAACCAGGACAGATAATTCATGCTGGATACATCTGACTTGAAAGGAAGTTTTGCCTTCAAGCAAGGAAGCACGGAATTGTCCTCGTGTTCTGTTTCCAGAGGATTTTGAAGCATGGTTCAGGGTAGAGAGCCTACCTGTGTGAGTTACTGCAATGTATAGATGCAAAGTTTGCATTAGAAGAAAGGTATGGGGCAAGATGTTGCATTCCTTGGTTTACAGAAATCTCATTCGTACTAATTTAACTCTTCATTCTTATTTTCAGAGGTTCAGGCCAATATGAACATTACTTTCTAACCAAGGTCTACTAAAAAAATCAGCCTTCACTATACAAATCTTCCAGCAATCCAGATTGCTACACAGGACTACCCACCTCTCAAACTGAAAAGTCTTGGTTACTGATGCATGACCAGGACGGCTACACTTTACAAGGACAGTTTCCTAAATGAAAACCAAAATACTTACAGTTAATATCATAGGCACACACACACACACAGAGAAATATTTATAATTTCTAACGTTCCAAGTGACAGCAGTAATTAAGGATCATGAAGTACAAGGCCCTCCTCCAGCAGTCACCAACATGTGAGGCTTTAGAGACTGTATACTGCAGTGAACTAGCAAGACCATCAGAAAGGATCTCAAAACACATTCAGATTATTGAAGAACAACCAACATAAACTATGTGCGCTTAAGTTCATGAGAAAGATTTAAATCCTTACCCAAACTTCTTATGTGCCTAGAAGGCCACAAGCAAGTTAACCCAACCTTCCTAACTGCCACCACAGGTAGAAAAAAATGGCAGAGCGCACCCTTTTTTATCATCGGGCCAGTTTTCACAGTGCCTTTGCAGATTGATTTCTGCCTAGAACTGATCAGAAGATTCTCATTTAATAGAGTAACATGCTAGTCCACAACTGTGAGAAAGATCTGCACTAGCACAGTTGCTAGAATTCCACGGGTTTTTAGTGGAATCCACTTTCCAGATGGATTATATAGTAGTTTTGTAAGTCTGACAGATATGTAAGCAGCTCTTTAAGCTACTACCACAGTGTAATCACAGCAGTCTGGCATGCTTTATGTAGCAACTTCTGTGCCCCTCCACTCCCCATGGCGTATGTTGCTCAATTGCAGAGAAAAGTAAAGGGAAAAAAAAAGTGGGAGTTTACCACAATTTGGGTGAAAGCTCATTAGCACACAAAATACTTCATCTAATTAAGGAGGTTTCCTAGCTTACTAACCTGCGGTCACATTACTGCATTTGATGGGAGTGCTGAAATTCCTACTGTGCTTCAGACAAGTAGCTTGGAGTGCTCAACTAATGGCCTTCAAATGAGTATTGCCACAGACTGAAGTCATAAAGAGCTGAGCAAGTAACGATTGCATAACAGTATGTCCAGCATGAAAATGGCTAATAAAAATCAAATTTATTGTTTTGAGTTTACAACTATTCTTCTTTGGAGAAGACCAATGTGTCATTATCAACCTAATGATGACAACACTCACTCTACAGAATGAGCTGTGTTACTCATCCCAGTACTGGCAAATCTAGCAGCAGTACAGATGTGAGTACAATACATTGGTACAAAATGGCCTGACACAGAAATTCTAATAGAATCAGTAACCAACCGGCTTTTAGGGGAAGACAAAAAAAAAAAAGGATATAGAGTTATGGAACTCATTTCTGATTCAGATATCAAATTCACTTGCAGACCAGCTTTCCCTAAGGTGATAAATGGGACATAAAAACCTCTATTTGCATAACATAGAAACAAAAGAATTGTTAATAGGCAGAAGTGTCATGGAAGCATTTGTAATGACCTTCCTTTCTCAGGAGAGCGGTATGGTCCAACATATCCACCACCCTGCTGGCCTACAGAATCTCATCAGATTTCCCTGTCAATAGTGCTTATGAAATCCATACAGCTGTCTCATATGAACAGTGAAGAACCTTTTTTTCACCCCAGTGTCACAGAATACTCCCAGTCTGAGTTCTTTCGGGGCAATATGAATCATGGAAATGACAAAAGGATACTTCATAAATATTCACAATCTGTCCTGACACCCAAGCCTGACTCCCCAAGCTCAGGGAGTAGTTCAGTAAGCAAAATTCAGTAAGGCGGAGAAATAATTTTAAATGAGTTACGTGGAATAGTGGATATGGACATGATCACAGAATCCAGCTGCAGTAATTATAACTTCTTATCAGTTGTTAGTGTGTATCTGCTGAAGGCTATGCCCCCTTTCCCAAGACTACTGCTCTACAGCAGAGCCAATGTAAGGGAGACCGTGACCACTCCTCATGTTTCACTGTCAGCTTCAGTGCAACTGGCTGACATAGCACTGAGGCTGACACAGACAGCTTAAAGGATTCCCCGCACTGGGTAAGCACCAGGGGAAGAAATCTCTATCTGGGGATGGTGATAAGCAACTGGGGAGCAATAACATCTTCAACTGCTATAGCTACATCCATCTGATTTATTACAAAAATATCTCCAAAGAAAAGGAGGGTCATGGCTGTGTTAATTCATGTCTTCTCAATGTTATCTCGAAGAAACCACGTAATATTGCACCTTCCCTGATACTCAGAGCAGCCTCTTTGCCATCTCATTTTTCTCAACTTCTCACAAGTGAAAGCCTTCTCCAAATGATTTGAAAGGAATTAATCACATTGAGGCAGCCAGTTTCTTTTCTCTGTGCCAAAGAAAGTTAGATTCAAACATCACTTCAGGTATTAGGCTAGGGCAGGTGCCTCAGGTGCCTATGTAGTTGTGGAGACACACACATTTGAAGTTTAATTCAGATCTTATGTGAATGACTTTCCCTCTCAAGGTGGCTACTCTTCAGCGACCACAAGGGGAGTCTGGAGGGATTTGGCACCTCATTTAAGTACCTACATTTGATACAGTGAATCCAGGCAAAAACACAGCTGCTCATTCAAACATGACACCTGTACTCACCAGGACACACAGCACACCTGGCCAGAGATGGACGAAATCACAGAAAAGCAGGAGGTGGGATCCTGGACCGGAATCACAGAACGGTTAAGCTGGGAAGGGACCTACAGAGACTGTCGAGGCCAACCCCCTGCTCAGAGCAGGGCCAGCTACAGCAGGTTGCCCAGGACTGTGTCCAGTCAGGTTTTGAGCATCTCCAAAGATGAAAAGTCCACACCCTCTCTGGGCAAGCTGCTCCAGTGTTTGACTACCCTCACAGCTGCTTCTCCTGTTTAAACGGAATTTCCTGTATTCCAATTTGCAGGCATTTCTCCCTGCCCTGTAACCACCAAGAAGAGTCTGAGCATTCATCTACTCATTTTCTCAGGTAGTGACAATACTGGTGCTGCTCGGTGTGCTAATCTATGTGGACTAGTTCAACCTGATGCGTAGTGTGTACTCACACTGCACCATTATTGCACAACAAACTTGAGAAGAAAGGCTCAGACAGCTGTTACTGTTACGCTGAGGAGCTGGGCATACACAGGAAAGCAAAAAGAAAAGTTCAAAAATCTTAAAGTACATCAAAACCTAAAATGAAATATTCTTTGGTACATCCAGTAAAATCCTAAGCCTTTTTTAGACTTAGAATCAGTATGATTCTCTGGACAAGATCAGCAAGATTATAGAAAAGATTAGGTGTCTTTTGAAGAATGATATGACTTTTTAAATAAACAAAAGGAAAAACACTCAAGGACTAAATGGAATTCATGTAGTCTCAGTCTCACAAAAAGATACACAACCATTCTGCCCAAGTGTCAGTTCTGCCTATCTAGACAGTTTGAAAGAAGTTCTTATCACAGCTCCTGGCAGAAGAGAAGCAAAGCTACTTTGTACAGCAATTCCTGTTGTGGACTTTCACCACGAGACAGATGTTTTCCCTATTCTATTTAATAACATGACAGAGTTGTAGCATAGATGAGACAGATCAGTGTATTACTAGAGCTCCAGTCCAATCCAGGAACAATGTCAAGCTGACGCTTGTCCAGAAGATCCAACCATCATTTCCAATATGCACACTGGACTGCATTATGACCCTGGTTCTCAAATGCAGCTCTGCTTTCTAATGCACATTAGCTCTAAATCATCATGGCAGGTAACCGCCTGGTTACGTTACACATATAAAACATTTTCAGGGAAAAATCTGGAAAGACAGCTATGGTCTAAAAAGTAAAACTAATAAACTCAGCACCTCTATCACAGACAGTCTTCCTTCACCTTGATCTAAAATTTCCTTTAAATCATAAATGCTTGTCTGGAAAATGGTTAACTTGTTTCCAGAAATATGAGCTTTGACTATGTTGCAACTAAAAGCTCAATAACAAATGAAGACCCATAATTTTATCTGAAAATTGCATACTTATCCTAGCCACAAGCATAGCACCTTCAGTTATTAAAAGCAAAATAAGCAGACAATAAACATTGTTTTACTTTACTTCTGTTAGATTAATCCAAATTGACTGCTTTTTGTAAAAAGTCAGTTTTACTTTTATCCTCCCTCATGAACTGGGATACTGTAAACAATTTTTTTTTTTTCTTAAAAAAATCATATTAAGAAACTAACACAAGACTTAAAAGTGCTTGATCAAAACTAGAAAGCATTTTAACCAAATAAATGTCAAGGCAAACCAATAAAACTTTTGAAGTCAATGTTGTGTTTTCCAAAACCAGGAAGTTAGTATCTTGCAAACTTCATTTTACAATCAAGTCCATGCATACATTTATTTTCCTGGAATATTTCATAAGGACTTTTAAACATGAGAACAGATTAGTATATTGAAGGTTACCAAGTTACTGTTTTATACAAACTAAGACTCATCAATTGGCATAAGCAAGCAGACAGTGCTTTGCCTGTAAACATATAGATACTGTAATATACCAGATATCTCTCTGAAATAATCCAAAACCTAAATATTATCTAATTTCATCTTCATGCAATAAAATTTAACAGGTCAGAAACGGTTGTAGAATTTTATAGTACAAGAAATGGGTCATGAAATCCAGAACACCACATCTACTGTTACAGATCCCTGTTTTTTCTCTCCTGACATACTGACCCTTTCTTGGCTGACTCTTCATGTGCTCCATTAGTTTTCTAATTGCATATATACATATATACGTATATATACACATATATGCATATATACACACATATAAATATACACTTTATGCAACTGAGATCTGCCTAATGAAGCTATAATTCGGGAGATTTAAATGCATAACATACTATAGCTCACTTCAGCAATATTTTAAGCACTATACTGTACAAGCGAATTTGGCTAATCACCATGTCAGTAACAGTGAGCAGCCAACTAAGAACTATGGCAGCTAAGAAAATTAACACCCCAGTTAATACTTTGACCTTAGCTCACACTACTGTGACTTTTTAAATTTTATATCTTGGTAATGTCCTCATTTAATGCTGGGATGTCATCTGGATTTGCAACCTCAATGCTCATTCTCCTTCCTCTGATGGATCTAAGCCAGGACACTTTAACATGCTTGACTGCAGTACCACGTAGGCTGCTGCAGTTCATTAGATATCGTATTTCTCTCCTAATACATTAGTTGTGTTGCAACAACCAAATGACAAAAGCCTAACATAATTTTAGAAATAGTTGCAGTAAATACTCAAAGGGACTGCTGCAGAAAGTCTGAAGCAGTTTGACTACTGTAAACACAACCTCCAGTGTATGGATGACTGCACCAGCAGAAGCTCCAAGCTATTACTACTACAAACAGTCAGGATGAAAATAGCATAAATCACCTGCCATTGCACTCATGGGTGATCAAAGCTGGGCACTGATTGACATGGAACTACCTCATTTAAAAAAAAAAACAAAACAAAACATTGTTCACATGTCCCTCTTGCTTATCCTTCCTAGTATCTGTGAATGTGCTTTTGAATTTCAGCATCAAATACTCACATCATCAGCTGCATATGCCGTTTTTTCTGAAAAGTTTCTTTGCCTGTAAGGGGGGAAAAAAAGAAAAGCCAATAGGGATAAAAAAAGGTACCTTTCAAACCATTTAACTCAGGAAAGTCAATGCTCAAAAGGTCTGTGAACTATATATTGTCTGAAGAGTACCTTTCAGAATTTCCATTTTGTTGCACACCATGTACGTACTAGCACTGCAGTTAATTGTGAATAAAGAATAAATTAAAGTGCAATCAAGCAAAATAATCTGCTTTAAAAATGAATTTAGAACAAACTCAATTAAGACAAATTCACATGTGAACCATTCTATTATTTTGAGATTGTAACATGAGCTTGTAACAAGAGGCTTTCACTTTAGAACATTAAAGTGAAAAACACCCTTATTTTAGGTATTTGTTCCTGATGTTGCATCCATTACTAGTCCAAAAACTGACTGGGATTGCTAAACTGTATAAATTCATTCATGTGTGTAAGTGCTTTGAGAATCAGTCCTTAGCTTTACAACTAAGTTTTATTTAAATTACTTTTTGATATATTAAGAAAAGTTAGTCTTAACAATTGTTTGGCCCAGACCATCCTGTTTTACTCTACAGTTCAGCACCTGATTGCACTATTCCATACAGCAACAGAAACAGTGAGTGGGATTCTTCCCAGGTATATCAAGCAGAGGTTAATGCAACTTTCCCCTTCAGGCTCCTTGAAATTTCTTGTCTGATATTTTTGATGTTGTTTTAATTAAAACAATTCTATATTTTTTTAAAGATTTGCCAAAAATTAATAAACTTTAAAAAAACAAATGTACTCTTTTAGAATTACCAGCCACCAAAAGTAAAATAAAGCCCCGAATCAGTTATTTACCGATAGAGCAAATGATACTGTTACTGCTTGCCCGCCACCCACCCAGTGTTCCCCTTCTTTCTTTCTTTGTGTATGTTTCAACCCCTACCTTCTTTCATGTTAGTCATCCAAGGAGAATTCAGCTTGTTGTAGCACATACTTGCATCTAATCCCTCTTTTCCTTTTGGATCTTGGAATGTTTTGCCATTTCAGTTTACAGTAAGTGTGTTATAAATTAGGGATGCAGAGCCAAATTATACTGAAATAGAATTACCAGTGTTTGTGCTGACAGCAGATCTGTTCTATAGCATTACAAAACAACTGTAATAAGTGTGTTTCTCTACCCACGACTTCTGACAGTTATTACATTACTGTATCCCAGAATTTGTATAGGATAGTGAATATACTCTAAACTGATTGCAGCTGTGTTACTTCTGCCAAGCCAGAGATAATCCTGGCTTGGCAGAACAGCTGTGGCTTTCTATTCAGATGGACATACTTTTAGACAAGGCAATTAGATTGGCTAAAGCCAAGTTAGCAGGAGAAAGGAAAGGAAACAGGAATTACTTTCTATAAGACCATCATTGTCTTACCATACACATAAAAACAGGGAAAAAAAAAATCAAGAACACAGTTGTTCTCACATACTTATACCTATTGTTTTCTCTGTATTAATTATGAGTCAGCTAAGATCTAATACAGCCAAAATACATTACCTATCCTGTGATATCAAATGTCCAGCAGCAGTATCAAAAGGTAGTAATGGTCGGATCCTGCAGTGGACTCTGATATTTCCTCTCAGTTCCTAGGGTTAGAATATTAAGACGAATTTAACACAAACTACTGGAGAGGACAAATACACTGGAATTTGTGAAGCAGACATGAACATTTTTAAGAAAGCAGGTGTTTACAATATCACAGCCTTAGATTGTATGGAGAGAAAAATAGCATCAATATCATCTGCCTTAAGAAGTTAGGAGAAAGTACTTGAGGAAGTATGAGCTCTTCAGAGCTCTGGAATGGTGTAGCTCTCTCCAGTCTATATGGAAAAAAAAAAAAAAAAAAAAAAGAAAAGGCTTTCAACTGAGATATTTTCCCCTCTTCAGACTCCTTCCTCTTGAGCTTCTTCAGACACCTATAGTAACTCAACAGACAAGATTACACACTCCACTTCTCTTCCACCAGCCCTGAGGAAGATGTGGAAAATAAAACGTTTTGTACCTTTTCCTTTTCACAATGTGTTCGTACATGACTAAAAAGCCAGTAACTGATTTTTCTCTGCAGATTGTTTCAGACTTCAGTTTATCTAACCCGGTGTTTTTCCTTCCTTTTTATTGGTGATCAGTTCTTCTCATTTTGTATTCATGAAAACAGCTTGCCTGGGATGACTAGTGACCACTGTCATTAACTGCCCACTGCCTTGGAGAATATCCTTTCAGTAAACTGCAACACAAGGCAGAGTTTAGCAGGTAAGTACTTTTTAACAAAAAGCTTCATTGTCCCAGGTAGAAAAACTTAAAAGAATTTTGTTTGAAAGTGGCTTGTGTTTCTAAAAATCAGGCCCTGAATAAGGCAACCCAAAACTAGGCAATCTGGGGGGGTGAGGAGGAAGAGTAAAGTTAAAGTACAAATAGGAAAAAATTAATCCTGAATGAACCATCACTAATGACTGAACAGGATACAGCTAGGTATATTTGGAAAAATAAAAGAAGACCACTTTGTAATTTCAAGTTATTAATTTTAAGAGTTCGAAAACAATTTCAGAATCTGAAAATTTAGAGAAGAGGGTAAAGAAACTCAAGCTTTGTTCATTATTCAAAATGGATGATGCTCCTTAGTGCAACAGGCTCCAGGAGTGCATTCAGAAGATGCTTATACAAAAACAAAGGGGCTAAGGATTATTGTAAGACAAACATGCCTTCACAAAAAAATGCATCATATATAGACAGCTGGGGGAAGTGATATGTCCATAAAAAGTATATTCATTAGTTTTATTGGTGAGAAAATCACGGGCATAATTACAATAAAATAAGGAAGTGATCTGTCATTAAAGATACTTACAACTAAGCTGTTATGCAAAGCTCTCCTCTTTTGCTTTTCTTTCTCATATCTCTCTGTCACCTCTTGTAGAGACTGCTCAAGATCAAAAGCTTTTATCTGAAAAACTGGAGGAAGAAAGCTGTTTCAAAGAACTAAATTCTGTGACTTCACAAAATGAATTTTCCAGTAGCACCTCATGAAATACAAGCATAAACTTATTTAACTTCTACCAAACTTAAATTAGGAAGGGTAGTTCCTGATTTATTAGATACATCTGAAAAGTCCCATCATACTTCTTGCTATGAAATAGCTATGCAAGGTTACAGATAATTACTGCAGGTATAGATGTGAAATCTTGAAAAACAATCAAGAATAGAAGATATTTAAAGGCAGTTCAAACATGTCAGTTTAGTTAATGTTATCTGTCAGTGAAGCCTGAAACCCAAACTTGAAGCAACCTGCCTCTGGATAGGGCTGTCACTTGCCAGGCTCATGCCTTTTCTGCAGATTATTTGACTCAAACCAGCTAACTTTACAAGAAGTCAACCTATTATTTATCCTCAGCTTTATTTACAGTGCTGCTAATCCTGTAAAATAGTTACAAGGTTCCCTTTTAAGATAGGTACATTCACTTTATGGGTAGGATTTAATAAAAAAAGAACCTCAGGGAGTCATCTTCACAAAACTGAGGTGAGTAATATGGGTCATTGTAAAAGCCTTCTAATTTCACATTGGTTTTATCTCAACCCAATTACATGAACACTGAGGAGCCCTAAAACATACAGCTCAGAAGGCACATAATGTGACTGTAAACTTGTGTAAAAACCAAGCTTTTAGGAACCCCAGTGGGAAAGCAACCTTCCCAGCAATTAGTGAGAAGTTTGAAGATGTAGAGTAGCAAGCAGTCAAAACCACAGTCTGAGAGCTGAGTTAGCAGGGTGGCCACCAGCCTCAGTATGTGCAACCTTAGAAAGAAAGGAACAGACTTAAAGTCTCAGTATGTCACACGTGATTTTTTTTAGTATAGACTAAAAAACAGATAATTTCAAGGGACATTTGTCTATACTACAGATTTGTCAGATCTTATTTTTGTAATACCCACACTGTTCACCTCCAGCCCATAATGTTCCTCCACAAGTGCATGCATGCAAGGGAAACATGATGTTAATAGTTGGGGAACCAAACACTAGGACTTTCACTAAGACAAATCCTTTTCTTGCATGCTGCATGTGGAATAACACTAGTATGCCTTGGTTTGGAGAATCACATGCACATATGTTACAATAAATTGTCAAAAGTGACTCTTACATTTAATGGCCCCTAGTCATACAGTGTTTTTCAAAACATGAGGAGGGAATCCATTTAAGTAATCTCCATAATAAGTATCTTAAATAAGTATCTTACTTTATAAATTTGTGCACACACGCTTTCAGGTCTTGAAGTCTCCTGAATAAACAATAAAGTTAAGCAGTAGGTGCTAAGGGTACTCTTCCATTCTTCCAGTCTTGAAAGAAAAAAAAAATTACTAATTTGTTTCAGTATTTAAGTGGTCTCTTCATGAGGACTGTGAGAAGCCTACTGGACACTATAGATCCAGTTTCAGTTAACTTAGGCCCTATTCTCTAATTTTTTTTTTTCCTTACTTAGCTGTCCTATGGTGAAGATGACTGTGAAAATAGAAATCAACCTTGGCGCTTCCTAATTTGACACCAGAGCTTTTGAGCAGACAGGTGAAGGACTGCAATCTGTAGAAAATGAGTTCAGTTGTTGCATTTAGCAGGTGATATTTTGATAAGTGTAAGAGTGAGCCATTAGTTTTAATGTCCATCTTCTGTAAAGCCTTATGTGAAGCACAGAAACATGCATTGAATAGAAGCTCCACAGAGCAAGTTTCCTAATGCATAAATTATTTCTGAACTTTAAATTTTTCTGAAAGTGGAGCTATATAGTTAAAAATATATATACTTATTTAACATCTTCTTAGTTTTCTGCTTGGCACCAGCTGCAAGCTGTTCAGGAGTTACATTTTCATCCATCAATAATCAGACTGACAGTTGTAGAAGAGTGATGGCTTGCAAATATGTTCAGGATTGTAATGCTTCTTTAATTGACAGTCCTGGCTAAGGGGCTTTTCATTCCCTCCTATTCAGTGATGCACCAGACCCTCTGCTGTGCTTCCACAACTGCTTCCATGGTCACATGGAGGTTTAAAAGCAATCCTTCTTTCTGAGTAATTTGTGTCCTGGATCAGCTCCCTGATCTGCTTTGCTTGTGATCACACAAACAGTTATGCCAGTGAAACGGAAAGGACCATGACAGGGACAGGAGCAGCATAACCTAGGACAGGCACAGCAGTCTAGCTCAGGTGTGGATGTACAGCTGTCCCCATAGTTCCCTCGGGTTCTCCATCCCAGAGAGAAAGTGTCCTGGGATCTCAAAGGATATTTAAGTCATTGGGCTGCAGCAGCTTTCACAAGATTTGTCAGTAACCTGCAGCAACTCCTCTGTCACGTATTCACTTGGGCAGATTTTGCTCCTTAGTACCCGACACTTTGCCAAGCAGGAGAAAAATGTACCTTTTAAATGGCAACACAAAGATACCAGAGCATCACCCAGGGACTCTGATTATAAATTTGTGTATTTGTTGTTAGTTCATCAGGCTGCAAAGCTTCAAACAATTTAAGCTCCGTACATATCATGTACTCCTTAGGCCTGGCAGGAGCTCCACCAGATTCAAGGATACCGAAAGCTGGGGCAGAGATCCATGCCAAGAGACCCAGGTGTAGGACCCACACAATTAGTCCTCAGAGTCTGCTTTATATGTACACATGAACAAGGAAGGACCTGAATTCCAAATCAGCAGTTCATGTGGTGTTATTACCTACAGTCTAGCAAGTGGAACTGGCTGTGATTTGGAAGTAAAATTTTCTCCCTGAATACAGAGAAATAGTTGAAATCCAGTCCATCCTAATTTCAGACAGTATTTTTAAAAATCTCCGAAATCACCTGAGCCCTTTTCCAGTACAGTCAAAAGCAGACAAATTTCAGCTAAAGCAACACATTCTTTATTCAGCTATTCTAACATAGTCAAGATAACAAGCCTGAGAACTTCAGATTAAAAATGTTACAGCTGAGCCAACTCAGCAGCAATCTGATAGCAGCTGCAATCAACACAAAAGCTAAATCCAAATTATCAGTCATAACCTCTGAAGAGTTATTTGTACTCTTTCTAACGCTTCAGAACTCCTCGATGATCTAATGGCAAACAAAAAACAAGTGCTACAACTTCAGTGACACATTTCTCAAAAATCAAACTCAACCTTTTAATGTTAGTAACATTTAACAATGACATTATTGATGTTACATGTTTGAAATGTAAGTGCAATGAGCCTTACTTTTCATTGCTTCATTTTGCAGCTGTATCCCTTGGACTGCTGTCAAAATTTGGCAAAGATAAGACCTGCTTTGACGCTGAAAGTCTTTTGAAAGCTCAAGAGCAAATGAATGGAGGCTCTTCAGGTCTTGCTTAAGCCTCTTCTCAGCAAAAAAGAAAAAGTATGTTATAAAGACACAAAAACAGCAGTTAAGGAAGAATCTATATAACAATACTACAAATCATTATGGTGAGATATAAGAGTCAGGAAGAAACCTTTACTTGAAAGGAGGTATTCAGGAGTATATCTTTCAACATGTTTAGAGAAGGATCCTGCAAGATATTTAGCAATGTCATTTTCTAAAGACTTCAGCCAGATTTTATGGATCCTTACCATCTTATGGTACATACTTTGACCAAAACACAGCTTCAGGTATAGCCAAGTCTCTTAGTCATCAAAGACATATATAAGATGAATTTAACAATATCTTATTTCACAGAAGCACAGTGATGTTTCATTAGTCAGCCTGATACAATGTGTCACATATTCTGTGAGATTTTATTTTTCTAACTGTAGTACTGACCTTGAATTAATCAACCAGTTTAAATGATAAAAGAACTATCTAAACCAAAGGAATAAAATCACAGCATTTCTCACTCACGAAAGCCACAGAATGTAACTGGGAGGAAGGTTTGTTTTTTTTTTTTATTATAGGTGTAGGGTAACCATTAATCTAGATTTTTATTTGGAGATCTTTGCTCTCTCCTAACATTCATTAATCTCTGATAGTAAACCATCTCAATCCACTGGTATTGCATCACAAGCAGTTCTGCCATTCTAGCTAGCTGCAAAATTTAGTGAGCAGAATCACTGTAATTAGAATAGAACAGAATAATTCAGTTGGAAGGGACCTACAATGATCATCCAGTCCAACTGTGCTACAATTAAGCTACATCCTTCTGCCTGTTAAGAATCAGATTTCTTTCCTGAGATACTTTTCAGTCATTTTATGCAGGCATTCAGTGCTACCCTGAAAAAAGCTGACATTTGTTAGTGACCCTAAAAGGAACTCACTATTCCATGGAGTAACTTAAGGAATAAGTACTTCAACAAAGGAAAATATTATGGTACTGGCACTGGGAGAACAGTTCCAGTCTCTCTGATGCAAAATAAAGACAACCTAAGTGAGCCTACAACAAACTACTCCTTGTGAGGTCCGCCAGAGCAGAAATCAATAGAACTCTCCAATGCTTTTCTAAAGGATTTACCTATCTGGTTAAAGTATATCACAATTATTGTATTTTAGGGGATGTCTATATGATAGTCAAATCAGGGATTGCAAGGTTTTGATTACAAAATACCCAGCTCTGGCACTGATAGCAGCCTATACGTAAGATTCTGGAGCTCAGTGGCAGCCAGCTTTACCAGCTGCTCAGGTGACTTTGCAGCCTATTACAGCAAAAGCACTATAAATTTTAAGCTAACTCAGGCACTGCTACACTTCACTGCAAGCAGTGCTATGAATACAATAAAGCCATAGATCTGGTTCATATCTGACCGTTTTCTGGGTTTTACTGTATTTTATAAGCATGTAGATGTTTAGGGCACAGATTATGCCTACATTATTACGAAATGTTTTTACCTTTATTGCTCCATGCAGCTGGGTTGCAACAGAACTCCTCTGAAATTTCTGCTGCTGGCCATGAGCAGAGTACAGCTGCAGTACTTCATTAGTGCTTCTTCCAGCCAACCCTTGATACTGTTAAAAAAAGAAATAAAAGAAGAATCAATTCAAAGCACTGACGCTTTCTGTTGCATTGTCCCCTTTGTCCCTGTAAACATTTGTAACTCAACTATTTGATTACCTGTGATGTTGTAAATACATAATATCCTTGCTTTTACCTTTTTTGAGTCACATGAAGCATCACCCTGAGGTAACTAGCTAGTATCAGAATATTTGACTTCGTTAGGGTGGTAAACCACAGCATCAGATTACTAAAATGCTTTTGCAGTACTTAAAACCCTTCACTTATGCTTGAGATGGATCTAAATCCTTAAAACTGTGCCTTACTTAGGGAAAAAAGACTGGTTACATAGCTGGTTTAAATGTCTTCTGGTGACTAGATGTAAGGTAACGTTTAGGCTAACTTTTAGACTAGATATAAGGAAAATATTTTTTACAATGAGGGTGGTGAAACAGTGGAACAGGTTACCCAGAGAGGTGGTAGATGACCCATCCCTGGAAGTGTTCAAGGCCAGATTGGACGGGGCTCTGATCCAGTTGAAGACATCCCTGCCCATGGCAGGGGGTTTGGACTGGATGACTTTTAAGGTCCCTTCCAACCCAAACTGCTCTAAGATTCCATGAACTACATTTAATGCAGAATGCTCTCTGAAAGGACATGAAACAGAACGAGGACGCACATAGACATGTGTTTACTGCTGAAGTCCTGAAGGAGCTGGTAATACGCAGCCCTCAATTTAGTGTTCATCGCTCTCACTTCCTGCCAACACTGACTCCATTACAGTCAGCTGAGTTGCAGTGGTGCAAAACTGTACCAATAAAGCACTAGGCTGGGTCTCCAGAGATCAAAGCAACCAAAGCAATTTTTAAAGGATGTGGAGAAGAATGCTTTTGTAATAATCTAAAATTATCTATTATGCAAAAGCAATTTTTATGGCCAAATTTTGAGATGTTGAAATCAAAGGGAAAACAGAAATAGTGCAACTTTCAATATTTACAGGCAAGAGCACAAAATAGAAATCTCTGCAGAGTACTTGTGAAATTCTGCAATATGACAGAATCTGTATTATATTAAAAACTGCATTTTTGCCATTTACTGACAGTCCTGGTGCTTAAAATGAGCTGCAACTTCTTCATCTACTTTCCCCTGCCACCTGTTGACATCTATCATTCCTCAATCTGTACTGATAGCCTCTTCCTTTATTTTTAGAATACATTTATCTCTCGCACAGACTTATTTCCTACTTTATTCAGGCCATAAATTCTGTGACTGCGGTTCCCTGTTATTTAAATTAACAAAGCATAGAAGAGTACAATGACATGGAATAACTAAATTTATTCATGTAAAGGGTTTGACTTAATTCCTATCATCTGATCATGATAGGTAAAAAAGTAAACATTTAATTGCAGTTTAACTACAGATGACATCTGCAAAAAACAGCAATACAATGTCTTGGAACTGTTAGAATAAAGAAAGATTATATTTTCCAAGAAAAGTACTTCACCGATCTAAACCAACCTTTTCATGTGGCTTTTTCACCTTCACGAAGCATGCATCTTCTATTTACAAATGCATCCAGAGGTCCTGCACAACTATACACCACCTTAGCACTAATATGAAAAGTTCTTACATGGAAAAGAAATAGCAGGAAGACTATTTAAAAAAAACATTTTTTTTTTTTTTTTTATTACAGGCTTTAAGCTCCCAGAAATTGAGACACATCATATACAGTGTTCATATGTTCTTTTACTCTAAGGGCTTTCGAAACTCTTGTTGCTCAGATGTGGTATTTACAAACATGCTTGACAAAAATGCATACAAGTAGCACACCAGAATTAGTACCTCTAATTACATGTGAAAAGTTAAGCATATGAGCAATTGCAGTACTCAAGAGTTACTGTTAAATAAGCTTAAGCTAGTTAAAACCTACTTTTATCATCTAATAAATTTTCTACCATCTGCAGAGTTTCCCCTTGACCTCCCATTTTTCTCAACATGAGCAATAAAAGCAGAATGGTTGATTCTACTGTCACTGCAGTTCAACTCTCATGACTTCCACTATCAAGTTTATCTTTACTGCAAATTCTGCCTTGGTTTTGAGGTTTTCTCCATTAAAATAGTTTCAGCATTCAGAGTTGTTCGTAGTCCAGAACCTGCAAATCTGTGCCCATACATGAGAAGTATAAAAAATTACTATAAAACCTTTTATGGTTAGCTTTATTATAAACAGAAGTGAAACTGAAGTACTTAATAGTGTTCTCCAAACTGAAATCCCAGTTCTGCAATCGAACCCATTCTGGCAGACTCAGCTTTACCTATGGAAAGCTGCAGGATCAGCACCTCACAGACTGCTAATAAAAGCAAGGGGCATGCAAGACACATTTCCAAACAGGCAAAAGCAAGTCTACAGAGAAAGAATTTGACTTCTTATGTTCAATAACAACCTTTACAATATGTTCCTAGGATAAAAATATACTGGGCTGCAGAAACAGTGGCAGTGCTGACATTCGTGTTTGTCTTAAGGATATAAGCAAGGGGAGGTCTATAGCAAAAGATAACATTTTTCTTAGACTGATGCAACGTATAGACAAGCATTTTACACTGCAAAACCTAATTTATGGCTATCCTCATAAATTTGTCTCCAAAGCTCCCTAACTCACTTCAGCCAAAACGAATCCAATTTGTTTTTACAAGTTAAGAACGAGACCTCTGTTAACCCTGGTCACTGTGAGTGAACTTGTTACAGCTCAGCCATTCAGGCAGCTCCACCAGCAGATCTGAAGGGTCAGTGACTGATAGCTGAGGGCACTGGCTCTTTTCATCAGCATAGTTAGTGAAATACGGTGCAACATTGCACAACCTTACATTCATCTAATTAAAATTAGTACTTTTTAATAGAGACTATTCAATTAAGGTAAAATTATTTCATAGATGCCAGTTTAGCTCACATTTTCAGATTGCTGGGACAAATTAATGACGGAGAAGTGAAAGTCTTTTCTCTGTATTTAAAAAACTGCCTGAATAGAAACATCAGTGCAAGGTTAATTGCAAAGTATTTCCACAAATCATTTGATGTTGTTTCTGACTGAAGGTGGTAACACTGCCATGGTCCTCCTGTGTCTGTCGGTGCTCATATCTTCCAGCACATCTGGCAATAAAGAGTGCTGTATTTGGAAAACAAGAATTCATTATCTAATACTTAGATAACTTCTTCCTATATCTGATGCACTTTCCCGACTAGAATAATTTATTTCTTGTGCTAATGAAAGTGAAAAAAAAACAAAACAAAAAACAAAAAAACCCAAACAAACAAACAAACAAAAAACAAACAAAAAAAGCCCAACAGAAAATAGCTGAAATACTCTAGGTTTTTGATAAATTTTATAAAGCAGAATAAAAAAAAAAAGAAAGATTTTTCAGAATAAATTGCAGTACTCTTCTGTATGCCTAGCAAAATTCACCTCGGATATACCATCATCTGCTTCCAGTCAGGCTTTGAAAAATGTTAAACCCACTTTTATCCACAGGTGTTAACAAACCAACAGGGAAGGCAAATGGCTTTCCTGAGGTCACGCAACCATTTAATGTTTCAGCCCAGGTTAGAAACTCTTGGCCAACAGTCTGTATCACAACTAATACTCACAGCTGGCTCTGCTCTAGCAGTGTAGGTTGATATTCAAAATTCTCTAAATCTCTGAAATCCTACCTTTGAAGACCCTAAACATTACCACAGGCTGCTCCTTGTTTCAATAACGGTCTAGAAACAACATATGCTTCTGTAGAAGGATATAAGGAAATGAGGGCATCCAGTTGTTGCTAAACGCTCTGTGACTGACTTGTGCCTCTTCGAGACAAGGGTAACACTAGTGCTATGAAGACACACAATAGGGCATCTCTGGTAATTCTGTTTATAATAAAACGTCTTTCCTACTCTCTATGGACAGTCCTTTTTAAAGGATCATCCTAATTATGTCCAAAACCTACCCTTATCTTTTAGACAAACATTTTCCCTGCAAGCAAAAAGCAATATCCCATATTTAATGCTTGTGGAGTCATACACTCAGTTCACTTTTACAGATTTAAACCAATGACAAATATTTAAATGTATGCCAATTTCTAGGTACTTAATCAATCTATTGTTACTGCTACCATTTATGATTTAAAAAAAAAAAAAACAAAAAAACAAAGCAACTCTGATGGGTTTCCCCAACAATTAAAGAGTACAAAACCTGAAAAGAGGAAGACAGATTTCTGTGCCTTTTTTTTTTTTTTTTTCCTATTTTCATAAGAACTCTTTCTGGAAAAATAAACAATTGTTACCTCTGCAAGTTTTAGATGAAGAGCAGCGTTTTCAGTTTCCAGGACAACTATTCGCTCTTCTTTAGCCTAAGGAATAAAACCCACCCAAGCCCACAAAAGCAAAAATGAAATAAATATGAATCTCATGAATGTTATTACATTATGATAGTTTTATTATATTCCTGATTCTCAACCTTCCAAAATCAAAGACTACGTACCCCCGAATGCCTCAGCACAGTATTTGTCTACAAGCACATAAAAACTAGGATAAACTCTTGATATTCCCTTACTTCCTATACCTCCCGTCATTTTGCCTGTTTGTGCGGAAACGCATACGCAGAAAGTTTTAACTGCTTTTGCTTTACAAAACCGTCCCCTGGCACATCCCAGACCTGTGGTCCTTCGAGAAGTGCGATTCTGCTTATCTACAAATAACCACACCCCTCTCCCCCCCCAGGCCGGGCTGTCAGGGACCTCCGACGGTGCCGCGGGCCCAGCCGCTGCCCCCCGACACGGCCGCGGGGCCGGGGGGGCCGCTCACAGCGCTGACACCCCAGGGGGGACCAGCCTCTCCCTCAGCCTGCTGTAATTTCGGATTCTCGCCTAGAAATATACTCGCAGAAAAGAGCGGGAAAGGGGGAGGGCGGGGCGGGCGCGCCACCGCCCTCAGCGCCGCCACGTGCCGCGCCCCACGGGCCCCGCCGTCGCCCCGGGCCAGCTCTCGCCCCCCGCCCGCCCCACGCCTCGGAGCTCACTCGCAACCGCTGCTCCAGCTGCCGGAGCCGCTGCGCCCACGCGGAGCCCAGGCCGAGCCCGCTCCGCGGCCGCATCGCCCTTCCCCGCGCCCAGGCAGGCCCGGGCCCCCCCCGCCCCCCCGCAGCCCGTCCCTCGTGGGGTTTAAACCGGCCGAGGAGGAAAGCGGCTGGGGCGTCTGCCTGGCTGCCATGGTGACAGGACCCGCCTCCCGCCGGCGAGCGCCCCACGCGCGGCTGGCGCGCCGCCTCCGACCGCGAGCGGGGCCCAGGCAGCGATTGACAGCCGCCCCGCCGCGCCCCTGAGCGGCAGGGAGGCCCACCAATCCTCGTGCAGTGGAAGGGGGATGGGGGCGGGGCCTGCCAACTGCCCCGCCCTCAGGCGGGCGGTGGCACCGCTCCCCCCGCCCCACACCACGTTCAGCGGCGCCATTAAGGAGCGGGCGGTAAGCAGGGCGGGGGGGGCCCCTCCGCCTCAGCGGCTCTGGGGATAAGCGACCTCAGAGGCCGAGGCCACGGCTTAGGGGCGGGGAGCGCAGGGACTGAGGAGAAGCCTGGAGCTGGCGTGGCCGACGGAAGGCTACGGAAAGATTTCTCCTCCCAACACGAGTTCCCAGGACCAGGGGCACAGGCTTTTGAAAAAAGTGTTAAACCCAGCACAAAGGGCGGGAGGAGGACAGAGCCTAGAGCTAGTGTATTGGCTACAGCATTTCTCCTGAGGGGCTGGTGATGTGTGCTAGGAGCTAAGGCTGAAAAGGCTACAAAGAAGATTAAGGGATGGGAACATCTGTTACACAGAGGGAGCTGGGGGTTGTTCTGGCTGGAGGAAAGGCGGCTGAGGGGATCTGATCAGTACGTATAAATACTTGGTGGGAGAGTACAAAAAGAGCAGGGCCAGTCTCTCCTCTGGGACAGAACAAGAGGCAATAGGCACAAAATTGAGACACATGAAACTCCCTCTAAACCTAAAAAAAAAAAAACCAAACCCAAACAACAAAACTTTTTTTTTTTTTTTTTTTTTTTTTACTGTAAGGGTAGTCAAAGGCACAGGTTGCCCAGAGTGGCTGTGGACTCTCCATCCTTGGAGATGCTCAAAACCCAACTACAGCACAGCCCTGGGCAACTGGCTGTAGTTGACCTTGCTTTGACCCTGGGCTCGGTGCTATCTAGAGGTCCCTTCCAATGTCAACTATCCAGTATCTGTGAACAAAGTCAGTGTCTAGGGCTAGTCCTAGGAGATGGACAAAGCCTGCAGGTCCAGCTGGTGTGGGAGGCCTGAGACTGCCCAAGGCAGGAGCCATTCATTCAGGCTGTGGCAGGGAGTCTCATACTGAGGTTTCCAAGGCCAGTATGTGACATACATTAATAATTCTACGTTGTGCTCCACTGTAGTACACTGAAAGATGAATGTTATCCTGAAAGCCATCGGAATACTATTTGACTATTAAATGTGAAAGTATGCCAGATACTTGGAAGTGGGAAATAACACTACTTTTGCACCACAGTTGGTTGGTTGCTTTTTTTTTTTTTAATAAAAAAAAAAAAAAACCAAAACCAAAACAAACAAACAACCTGAAGCCACCATCGTAATTACGGAGGAATCCAGTTCTGCAAAACAGCAGTCTCAAGTTACTGTGTACTGAACCTTGCAAATGTGCTCTCATGTGGGTGGTAGAAAATCCAAAGGCATACAGCAGTGAATCTAGCCATGTTTGGCACAAAAGGGATGGCAATCCTTTACACAGGAACCCAGACGCAGCCCATCTCTCACAGACCAAAACAAACATCCCTGTGCAGCTCTATCAACTGTCTTCTGTGATACTGCAACTTCCTCCCATAAACTGTAGCCTAATTTAAAAAAAAAAAAAACAAACTGACTGGAAGCCCCTCAGCAGCTTGTCCTTGCAGCCAGTTCTGCACTGGTAGAAAAACAAAATCTGACGAATTTAGGCTAAAAAAAAAAAAAAAAGAGTTCCAAAGTATTGCACACTGTGGATGTTGGCATTAAGACATTGGCACTAAGGCAGGTAGACAGGATTTTATCAACAGCAGCTATTTTGGGGAGAATAGTAGCTTGGGGGAGTGTGAGTCACAGTTCTTGACACTGAGCTGTGATTTTTATATGTAATGCTTATCCTGCAGCAGCAATCAAGTCAGAACAATGTTATTTTCCAACAAAACTCCACTTCACCTCAGAAAGATAATCTCTGAAGTGTAATGGTTGATCGCTCCCTTACTGTGGGTTTTACCCACTATGAATGAGTTTAAGAATCTGGTTTCTGTAGCTGTAACAGAGAAGACAATTTACTATCACTCTGACTTTTAGGTTATTAGTTCAGTAACCTAAAAACTGAGCACCCCTGCACCACTCCTATTTAGTCACTTCTCTATGTGCACCTGAAAGTTGGATAGTACTGAAAACTCAGTCCCATCTGCATTTAAAATTTAAAAAAAAACAACCAACCAAACAAACAAAAAAAATCACAGTATGATCTGTGACTCACCATAACAGCAGCAATTCTCTTTTGGGATCTTCCTTCTATTTCCAAATCTCAGAGGAAGTTGCTTGATGGGCAGGGAACAGAAGAGCGTCTATGTGATCTGGGCAAGAAACAAATACAAAATCCAGCCACCTTCCAGAAATTCTGCAAGGCTGTATTCCAGCATGCCTCTCTACACTGATTCTCTGCTTTGAAGAATCTTTTTCCCCCACACTTGTACCAACTTGATCCTGTCTTCCCTCTGCAAATACAGAAGGCTGCCTTATTACAGACCCTTCTGGGGAACTGGGGGGCCAGAAATTTAATTAAATTGCCTAAATCTCCATTTTACTCTATTAATTTTAGCATCAGTGACATACCGTAGTGGATTATAACTCTTAAGATACTAAGTAAGCATTGTCTTGAATACTTCTGATGCATTTCACGTTAACCCCAGTAGTGGAACCACCAGGAGTAATGATGTCCCAGCTTCAGCATTCTGATACGAGCTGTCCATTACAGCATTCCCAAATGCACTGACAAGAAACAAAATGGGTAGAAAAGCACTTGGGAAAATTACCAAGAGAGAAGATTGCTATCCCTCTTGTGCCAAACATGGAGAGATTCACTGCTGTACGCCTTTGGATTTTCTGCTGCCTGTACAAGATCACATTCACCACACTCAGCAGACAGTATCTCGAGACTGCTGTACTGCACACAGCCTATCTGAACCTCCTAAAACACTATGCAGTGAAGCTGCAAATATTTAATTCCGCATTTTCAGCAAAACATTTATTTCGGTAACTGTAGGTCAGTTCTGAACATCCATCTATGACTAAGAATAAATGGAGATTCTCTGAGCAGGTGTATTGCACTTGTATCTCCTTAACTTTACCTGCCATTACAGCTGGGAAAGGAGTTGTCTGACTCCGAATTTTTAATCTGTGAGGCTTTGCCATCTGGGCCACACAGCCACTAAGTAACCATTTGAGACAGCAGTACCATTTGATGAAACAGCAGGAAGAACCAAGTATCTTCCCATTCTTATTACCAATTAACGTGAGTTACTACCTGTGTTTCAAGACTATTCTTGGTGAAGTTAATTTTTTACTCTATTTTTGTTATGATTTCTCTGAATCTAACTGAATTTGGAGGTAAAGAACAGTCTTGTTTGTTCTGCTGCTTTTATACTCATTGCTAGACCTACAAACAACAATCTCCATGGTCAAGTACATGGTTTATTATTTCAGTAAACAGGACATATACTATGGACTTTGTCATTTTCTTCTTTTCCCTCCCCCCAATTCCCAGCAAGACAGTAGTACAAAACAGTACATAAAAGCAGTTGAAAAGCAGTATATATGGATGATAGATGCAGAAGGAAGAATTTAACAGAGGTTTAAAATAGTCTGTTGGGAACAGCAGACCTGGCTGCATGTGCAAATGTAATTTCACCGTCACCACCGTAAGGGTCATGATGAATTAAAATATCAGGAACTGTGCTACTAGGGATGACAACTCATGTCCCTAAAGCAAAGCAGATGCTGCACTGTTCGGCTACATCACATTAGCGTGCTCACTCAGCAAACCTGACCTGGACCGTGCAAGGCACAGCTCAAAACTTGTTTTCTCACTGAAAATGTGTTACCCCTGTTGTGTATGTCACAGCTTCTCCCCCACAACCTCTGGACTACTTTAGTCTGGAAATAAATGTTTCTACGACAGTTCACAGCTGCAGCAACTATAGTCTCATTAAATAAATCATGTTTTGCTTGTACTGGTTCTTTGCTCTTGCTTAGACGGAGGGACTACCATACAGGAGGACAATGGATTATTTCATTTTTCTTCTAGACTGCACATTCTATATTCAAAATTAACTGTTCTTTTTCTGTAGACTATTCTCACAATCAAAAGCTACAGACTCAAAACATGGGTAAAAGATTGCCCGCAGCCGCCTTGAGCTCCTGGCAGTCATTTCCCCGCAACATGCTGAACAGCACTTCTGGAATTCTGTGGTTCTTTTTGCTTCTTCCCTGCCTTTATTCACACATCTCTTATACTAAGATCCAGCATGTCATCATTATTGATTCTGAAAATTCGAGTGTAGACCCCACAACTCAAGAAATTAAGGTACACACCTGGAAGGAGATGCAGGTGGCTCAATCCTGGCTCCAGTGGAGGTTCAGCTACAGCACTTCACTGCGGCCTGGCTTCCTCCCCACGCAGCGGTTAAACTGTTCTCTCCTACCAAGAGTCAAGTCACCTACCCTTACCAATCCAATGATAGAAGAAGAGCACCACCATTCTTAAGTCCTTTAACTCAATCTTCATTCAACACTACACACTAAATTTGAGTCAACTCCTTCAAACTTCCAGGTCAGCCAAACTGATTTTTTTCCCCAGAGATTTGACAAAAAGTTATCCTGTCTTTGTGTTCAAAATAAAGAGATAAAATGGCTTTTTAATCACAGCAATCACAACGGAGACTCTGGTTGAAATACTATTTACTTCTCCAAAAGAAGCTGCATTCCAGGTTCCTCTTTGCTGTTAGAAATACAACTCTGCACTGGAGGAGGATACACATGCAGTACTACTAGCCTCTGCAAGTGACCCCACCAGTATTTACTGCTTTGTAAGTTGCTGATTAAGCTGTAGAAATCAATTCTTTCAAGTCACTGCTACAAATACTGAACAATGTTAGGACAAGAACTTATCATCTCTGATCAATGAGATTCAGTCTCTCTGGCCAATATTCCACGTAAAATTCATTTGAG